CAGTGTCATTTTAGGATGGTGTACAGATTTTGAAGAGGGAAATTTTACTGAGAATAGCTGCAGATTAGCTGCTGAATATTTGCTTCTGGGTATGTCAAGATACATCCATGGAAACATACAGTATTGTTAACAGGTCCAGTAACGTTTTCCAGATAATATGTACAGACAAACAAGGTGGGTGAAGTAGTAGAGCGGGATACTGTTTTCCTGGGTTGTTCCTTGAAAGGTAGAAACCCATGTTTTCACAAACTTCTAATTTAAGTTTTGAAGAGCGGATAAATAAATAAAGGTGGCACGCAGCGAAGTTTTTGACAATCTTTTTAATATAGATACCGAACCGATCTGCAACTTCAACATTGGGTTGTGTTCCGCGGTTTTATAATATTACGATGGGAATTTTTGAGAAAAACAACAAACAACATAATTCAGTTACCTTTCCCCTGCTAATATCTTAGACGAATGTGAATTGCCGGATAGATTATTTGGTAGAAAATACGCTTCCCAAAAAAAAAAACTACGTAAATTTTCCTTTTTACATATCATTCACAAACGACGGATACCAAAGTACAACAAACAGAATTCATCAACAACATTCGCTATCACGTACGTTTCGCCGGCGGTGACGCCATTGTGATTAGTCCGTGGTTGTCCCCCCTAACGTCAAAAACGAAGTGGGCGGGGCTTATCGGCCGGGACTGGATCGGTCTATTGTGGTGCCGTAGACACATGGGCCATCTATGACCCTTCAACATTGTTGGAAATTGTTTTTATTTGTATAAGTAGATAAATATGACAACTGGCGGTCAACAAGGACATGTCAACTGCCCCTACTTATTTGTAGTAGCATGAGACTGGTGGACTATATTTGGCCACTGCTTTTGACGAGACATGTGTTTAGAGATGAAAATGTGTTGTTGAACACATCATGAACACATGAAGACCACATCACAGCGAAAGAAACCTCTCAAGATGTCCCACTAGACCACAGGACCAGTTAGTGGACAATAATTAGTGGTCCTGTCTGTACTTCACTGGCCCAAAATAACATTCGTAGATTTAATATAAAAATTCACTGGCCACCGGGACCACTGCAAACGTATCATTTAGTGGTCCTGAAAACGTTTTACTTGCCTGGAACCTCAAGACCAGCGTAATCTAAATACACCATGGCCACATCATGAATGTATTCTACATACACCATGGCCACATCATGAATGTATTCTACATACACCATGGCCACATCATGAATGTATTCTACAGACACCATGGCCACATCATGAATGTATTCTACAGACACCATGGCCACATCATGAATGTATTCTACATACACCATGGCCACATCATGAATGCATCACCAAATATATCCCAGATACATAATGAATTCAGCATAAACATGTCACTCACACATCACAAATGTATCATGAACACATTGCCACATTATTAACACATCACAACTGTATCAGGAACCTGTCATGATGAAAGTGAAGTCCTTTCACGGTATCAAGGACCACATGGCAAGCAGAGAAGAAAGTTTACTACACACCTAAGCATGCAACCATCTTGAATATAAGAGACAGACTCTAATCAATGAGAAATGCCCTAATGAGGCAAAGAAAACAGAAAAAACACAAAGAAAACACATTCATTTCCAACTGAAGCCGAACTTATTACCGAGCTGTGGTGGAAATTGTGGAATTCAGGCATTATGAACTTTGACATTATTGAATATAACACCTTGTTCAACATTACTGAATGTGACACTATGTGACATTACTGAATGTGACACTATGTGACATTAATGAATGTGACACTGTGACATTACTGAATGTGACACTATGTGACATTACTGAATGTGACACTATGTGACATTAATGAATGTGACACTGTGACATTACTGAATGTGACACTATGTGACATTACTGAATGTGACACTATGTGACATTACTGAATGTGACACTTTGTGACATTATTGAATGTGACACTATGTGACATTACTGAATTTGACACTGTGACACATTACTGAATGTGACACTACTGAATGTGACACTGTGACACATTACTGAATGTGACACTATGGGACATTATTGAATGTGCCACTTTGTGACATTATTGAATGCGACACTTGTTGACATTAATGAATGTGACATTATGTGACATGCGATACGTTCATGGTTTTGGTTTAACAGAGTAGGGGTTCAGATCTGTTCATGAGTTGGCCTGACAGTGCAGGGGTTCAGATCAGTGCATTTTCTAGGACAACGACTAATAGCCATGCCACAGACATTTTTCAAATTTGGCAGAGATACGGCAGAATGTCCTATCTAAAACCCACAAAATCAGGTAAATATCCTAAATCGGAGATAAACATCATGTGTTGGCCAATTTCCAGGTGTTATTGAGTATTTGAAGTACGGGAATTCATTTGGAACCAACGACATTAGCCGGAGGTTTCAAATGAAATATTTCTGTGCTTCAAATACTCAATAACACCCGGAAATTGGCCCACATATGATGTTTATCGACATTGTAAACCTAAAAGTAAAGCAAAAAGTACACGTTTTTGTGTCTGCACTCATTGACATCGAGTACGGGTACAGCAGTGAAATGTCATCAGCTGGCCGTTTCAGCTGTCTCCCATGGTAGCATCTGGAACTGCTCATTTGTGACGTCATTCCGACTTTACGTCACAATATGATTTGAATGATGTCATCACAGCTGACGTAGCAACAATACAATGGTGCGTGTGATGTTTGTATGTATTAATGCGCAGTGAATGGTCTTGCAATTTCCAGGAATCGAATACCATTCAATCATGTTTTTCAACCAATCAGATTAAAGAACACAGTGACTTTTGGTTCACAATGCCATTTGTCTGACACAAATCCTTCCACATCTTTGAAGGGCATTTAGAAGTAGAATGCATAAGAAAAGCAAGATTTATGGATGTCAACTTCTTTATTGTGAATAACACGATGTTTCGGAAATGTCGTGTTATTCACAATAAAGAAGTTGACATCCATAAATCTTGCTTTTCTTACATATCCTTCCAGCCAACCATATTTACAAGGTCATGACCATGTGCAGAGGCTTCCAAAGTGACTCTCTCTTGTAACATACTGAACAAACACGGACCAGATGATATCATTACATACATGGATGGTGACACAATGCATGTTCTGTTATCAATCCCCCCAAAATGATATCCTTTGATATCCTTGGGTTAAGACATGCTAACCGCCCAACGGGAAGTAAGGCAACATAAGTGAGTGAGTGAGTGAGTGAGTTGGGTTTTACTCTGCTTTTAGCAATATTTCAGCAACATCACGGCGGGGGACACCACAAGTGGGCTTCACACATTGTACTCATGTAGGGAATGGAACCCGGGCCTTCGGTGTGACGAGCAAACGCTTTAACCACTGGACTACCTCACCGCCCCACAACTTAAGTAAAGAGTATCATCAGCTCGTCTAAAGCAGACTAGGTGTGGAGAACACTGCAGTGCTTGGTGCTTGAAAGTGAAGCAATGAAATAAACAAGGAGTCATACACCTTCTTGAACATTTGATTTACTGAGGTTCCATACTAAATCTACTTAAATTCTGACTGTGTCTACACAGAGTAACCTATAGTATGTTTACCTGCTAACAGAAATACAGGCAAGAAGCTAGTCTGTCTCACAGTCCCTGAAACACATTATTTTCCCTACTGCCAAGCCCACCCTGCAATGCTAAAGCCCTAAATAAAGCAAGTCTAGATTTATTCAGGTTCTGAATCTCTGGTCTCCCTTGGGCTCCTTTTCAATTTATATGGGTTTGTTTGTTACTATCAAAATTATATATATTCAGAGACTAAGCATTAGTCTAGTAAGAAGCATATGGGGTCATTATCATGATCAAGTTTTGAAATAATCCCAAACTAATTAAAACTTGGAAAAAAACATTTCAAAACCAGTATTTCAATATTTATGTTTTAACCACCAAAAATGGGCACATAATACAAGAAGACTTTAAGAAACACTTCACACATTATATTCAGATCAGGTTTTGAAGAACCCATTGCCACACCATGTAATGTCAACTCTGATAACATATTGGTTTTTTTGGTTTCCAAAATAATTCCTTGCTTAGTATGACAGACAGTAAATATCCTCCCCAAAGAAAGTTGACTGGAAACTAGATTCAACAAGTGTTGGAAACATGTCAGATATTCTCGTCAATCTGTGGTGAACTTTTGAAACTAACAACTGGAAAAAATAAATAAATAAATGTCCAGAAAAAAGTTGGTTTCCATGGTTACTACTGACATATCATTAGTTTTGGGTTGGGGAGTCACAACTGTGTCAGCTTCAAAGACTGACAGCATTTCCATCACTGTTGTAGAAGGCAGTGTTAATATTCAGAATTCACATGAATATCGTGAACATATATAGATTCGAGGAAAGATATATACAGACAAAAGGGAGTGAAAATTCTATAATATCTAAATGACCATAATTCCTCTAAAATCTCTCATACTAAAGATAAAGTAATTCACCCATATACTGAAGAAAAGAAATAAGGGAACATTAAAGAGATACACAAGTTCATTGTATAATTTCTGAAAGAAGAAAGTCAGAGACAATTTGGTAATGGAGTCCAAACATACTTAAATATTCATATTGACATCAAACATTCTTACTGGACACAGTTGTAGAGATTTATATGTCTTTAGAAATGTTCCCTTTATTTTTTACATGAGTATATGTGAGATGATCCAAGTTCCTGGAAATAGAGCCCATAATCAGAAACAAACAAACAGCACTTGGCACAAATAACAACATTACTCTATATATACCATACAATTGTATCCTATATTTTTTGTGATTTTTAAAAATATAATTATATGGACTGCATAATTTACATTCCCAGCTAAAAGGCTTCAGAGGAATTATGGCAAGATAGTGAACTATGAGGCAGAGTAGTAGAACATGCTTGCTCCGGTGTCAGACTTTAATGTAAGCACATGCTGTTGTCCATCCCCTGGAGCATCAAGGGTCGGCATGACCCCTCAGCCCCCGACCGGAGAACCGAGGGGTCATACGCTGCCCCACTAATACCTACCTGAACTAGGGCTACTGACTTTGGGCTGTAAACTTTCCAACTGGGCATGGATTTCTTGCAAAAACATATTACTCATTTCAAGATTCCTGCCTAGTTAGTAATTCACATGTTAACATACAAGCAACTAAACAACCAACTGAACAGAACAATGACTACTGTATATATGTGTGTCATAGACAATACAGGTACGAAAATGTAAGAAAATATTTTATAAAGAGAAATTAAATTTAGCATTTTATTTTTTTTCAATGAGTTTAATATATTGTGTTTTAGCAGAAATGAATCTATTAACACTGATACGCAGAAGATAAAGAATGATTGTATCACCATGATGAAGGTTATGGAATCCAATGATTCAATGCTGAAGATAGTTTCTCTACTTACACTACTGTCTAAATCCATTACAGGAAAAAGTTATAAACTTATTCACAGTCCACCCCTGAAGTACTGACTGAGTGAGTGAGTTTAGTTTTACGCCGCTTTTAGCAATATTCCAGCAATATCATGGCGGGGGACACCAGAAATGGGCTTAATCACCCCTGAAGTATATTTTCAGCACTGGACACTGTGTGTATTATGGGTTTTCTGTTCTCCAATAGTGAGCAATTACCTAACCTTCAGAGCTCTTTACCAAACATCATACTCACAAACCCCCCTTTCAGACAATGCATAAATTAAATATGGCTGAAATAACAGTAGTCAGTTTCATTTTTAATGTTATGTCATCCATAGCAGTAGTAATAAGCTGCAATTATACTTTAGTCAAGCCTTAATTGATTGTTCTGTGTGTTTTACCATCACAACATAAACTTTGACAATAGGAAACTTTTACCTAAATCATTTCATGAATACTGGAGCATTAATTTCTCAATCATACGCTCATTACATGCAAAGCATCTTTCTGCGATGTTAGTTTTATATATTGAAGAAGTGTTTTTCTGACATTTTCAAGATGTTGCATTTCATTGAGTAACATCATGCAACGCAAAGTTAGTGAGAACATTCCCAATGCATAGAGATTACTCTTGCATAACTGCCATGAAGATATGTATGTGTATATTCCAGAACATGCTAGTGTTATTTCATGACAAGAGCAGGATGACGACAGCAAGTCTAGAAGAAATCAGAAAAATCTTAAACTTAATTATCATAAATGTCCGTCTACCTTGCAATAAAAGATGTTGCTAGTTTGTTGTTTAACACCACACTCAGCAATATTCCAGCTATATGATGGCAGTGTAAATTCTCGAGTGTGGACCAGACAATCTAGTGATTGAAATTGAGAACTACAATCCACATCATAATGATAAAATGGTAGCCATTGAACAAGTGACATTGTCAAGTATCAGTAATGACTACACTCTAAAGTCAGTAATTTGGATTCAAAGATGGTGCGAATTCACGGAGATCAAAACATCAAAAAACCTGCAGTCATATCTTGATTGGTCCAGACTGTGACAGCCATAACCCATACCATCTAGCATTGATGACAAATGTTATTCACACTCTGCTGCCAATTTGTTCACCCAATCCCCATTCTATTCTCTCAGTACTTCTGCTCTTGTTGTGTTTCTCATGTCCCAAATTAAAATTCCCACTGTAAAATATAACTTTTTAGTCACCAATTTCCCCATCGAAGTTTCCCCATTCCTTTAAAAGCATTTGATCACAAACTCAGCAGTAAATGGAAAAGTGAGTAAGTGAGATTAGTTTGACGCTGCTTTTAGCAATATTCCAGCAAATATTATGGCAGGGTACACCAGAAATGGGCTTCACACAATGTGCCCATGTGGGGAATCGAACCTGGGTCTTCGGCGTGACGAGAGAACCTTAACCCACTAGGCTACCCCACTGCGCCCGTTAATGGATAAGAGCAAGCTTAGAAACGCATTGAACTTTAGAATAATAATCACCACGGCCTGGGATCACCATTTGACCTTGACCTTCTATGTTGATAAACCAAAGTGAATAATGTGCATGGCTCTAAAAAAATGTATTTGGCACCTTCATTGTTATGGAAGTTACTCTTAATCTTATCAAACAAGCTTCCTTAAACCTACAAGCACATTCGTCTTTTCAAGTTGAATTATTGGTTTGACACAAATATATCACTAATAAATTAATGAAAAAGAACTTAAATCTAAATTCATTCCAACTATGTATTAAAACGAAAAATGTGGGATATCTTACCTGGTACTTGATCTGGGTCAATCTGAATTGACCTTGACCTTCGTACAATACCATGAACAGATTGCGACCTCTGTATCTTACGTACACGACCTTTGCGACCCGGGACAGAAGGTGAGGTCGTGGACAGGTTGGACTCATGATGTTACCAATGAATCGCATCACGGTAGCCTCACCTGCAACAGATAGCAGACGTTCCATCAGTGCTCTGCACGAGTGTTCTGCTAATGTTCCGGTTACATTCAACAGTTCATGCGGGAACACAGTCTTCACTAATACACCCGTTTCTTACACCAGCTCTGAGGACTCTTTTTAATTTTGTTTGATTGTTGTTTAATGAAGCACTCATTAATATTCCAGCTGAGGCTTTTTAAGAATTATTTTGATTGTTTTTCGGTTGTTTAATGTCACACTCAGCACTATTCCATCTAGATGATGGCTACATGAAAATAATCTGGACTAGACAACCCAGTGATTGTTACTTCGAGCAATGTTTCATGCTGTCAAGGTGAAATAAAGTCAACCAATTGCCCAGCACAGGCAGCTTGGAACCAAACTGATGCCCATGGATTTCTTTCTTCATGTATATATTAAAGAATATTAGCCACTGATGCTGCTTGGGGTAATTGTCTTCAATGAAGATTGGTTGGTTTCAGTTTCTAAACAAACATGACATGTAAAACTTACTGGACACCAATTATAACATGAAATGTTAACATACATTGAAACTTGATTAACTCTTCTAACAGTTCAGTGTGTTACAGGGTATTTTTTCAACAAAGTGATTACAGGGAGAAGGTGATCGTAACTCCCACACTTCAACACAGACTTACGACTATGACAGCACTGCGATCACTTTGTGGAACAGCACCCCATGCTTTAACTGCAATCTATAATTCTCTAAAGTAATTTGTGGTTGGCTTTAGTGCTCAAGAAGAAAGTGACTTACACTGGTTCGGGTCATCAAGGTCGCGGACGAAGCTGAGCTTGGTCACACACGATGTGGTGAGGAAGTCGGACAACTTGCCAAGATGCACTCTGGAAGGTATCATGGCAAACACCATTATTCTGTGTGTCATCTCAATTCTATAACTCATGCATATTGGCCTGTGTTTTATACTGCAATTTATTGCAATAATGATCCATGTACTTGGATGCATACCATTCTTTGATTTGCAATTTGCTTGGAAGTTCAACAATAAGGAACCCTACATTAAAGCTCCACATTTTTACCACTTCAACCAGCATTTAGAAGCTGGTCATGAAAAGTGTCCTACGGACCTACAACTCCCCATCTTCCTACTTCCTGCCTGGTCCTTCATCTTGCACAGTGCATGTAGCCCATCTGCAACCTAACTGACTGATCCAGTACTTCCCTTCTATCCAAAACACCCTGCCTAATCCTTCATCTTTCACAGTGCATGTAGCCCGTCTGCAACCTAACCAACTGATCCAGTACTTCCCTTCTATCCAAAACACCCTGCCTAATCCTTCATCTTGCACAGTGCATGTAGCCCATCTGCAACCTAACTGACTGATCCAGTACTTCCCTTCTATCCAAAACACCCTACCTGGTCCTTCATCTTTCACAGTGCATGTAGCCCGTCTGCAACCTAACCGACTGATCAAGTACTTCCCTTCTATCCAAAACACCCTGCCTAATCCTTCATCTTGCACAGTACATGTAGCCCGTCTGCAACCTTACCGACTGATCAAGTACTTCCCTTCTATCCAAAACACCCTGCCTAATCCTTCATCTTGCACAGTGTAAGCAGCCCGTCTGCAACCTAACCGACTGATCCAGTACTTCCCTTCTATCCAAAACACCCTGCCTAATCCTTCATCTTGCACAGTGCATGTAGCCCGTCTGCAACCTAACTGACTGATCCAGTACTTCCCTTCTATCCAAAACACCCTGCCTAATCCTTCATCTTTCACAGTGCATGTAGCCCGTCTGCAACCTAACCAACTGATCCAGTACTTCCCTTCTATCCAAAACACCCTGCCTAATCCTTCATCTTGCACAGTGCATGTAGCCCATCTGCAACCTAACTGACTGATCCAGTACTTCCCTTCTATCCAAAACACCCTACCTGGTCCTTCATCTTTCACCCAGTGCATGTAGCCCGCCTGCAACCTAACCAACTGATCAAGTACTTCCCTTCTATCCAAAACACCCTGCCTAATCCTTCATCTTGCACAGTACATGTAGCCCGTCTGCAACCTTACCGACTGATCAAGTACTTCCCTTCTATCCAAAACACCCTGCCTAATCCTTCATCTTGCACAGTGTAAGCAGCCCGTCTGCAACCTAACCGACTGATCCAGTACTTCCCTTCTATCCAAAACACCCTGCTTATCCTTCATCTTTCACAGTGCATGTAGCCCGTCTGCAACCTAACCGACTGATCCAGTACTTCCCTTCTATCCAAAACCCCCTACCTGGTCCTTCATCTTTCACAGTGCATGTAGCCCGTCTGCAACCTTACCGACTGATCCAGTACTTCCCTTCTATCCAAAACACCCTGCTTATCCTTCATCTTTCACAGTGCATGTAGCCCGTCTGCAACCTTACCGACTGATCCAGTACTTCCCTTCTATCCAAAACACCCTGCCTAATCCTTCATCTTGCACAGTGCATGTAGCCCGTCTGCAACCTAACCGACTGATCCAGTACTTCCCTTCTATCCAAAACACCCTGCCTAATCCTTAATCTTGCACAGTGCATGTAGCCCGTCTGCAACCTAACCGACTGATCCAGTACTTCCCTTCTATCCAAAACACCCTGCTTATCCTTCATCTTGCACAGTGCATGTAGCCCGTCTGCAACCTAACCGACTGATCCAGTACTTCCCTTCTATCCAAAACACCCTGCCTAATCCTTAATCTTGCACAGTGTAAGTAGCCCGTCTGCAACCTAACCGACTGATCCAGTACTTCCCTTCTATCCAAAACACCCTGCCTAATCCTTCATCTTGCACAGTGTATGTAGCCTGTCTGCAACCTAACCGACTGATCCAGTACTTCCCTTCTATCCAAAACACCCGACCTGGTCCTTATCTTGCACAGGGCATGTAGCCCGTCTGCAACCTTACCGACTGATCCAGTACTTCCCTTCTATCCAAAACACCCGACCTGGTCCTTATCTTGCACAGTGCATGTAGCCCGTCTGCAACCTAACTGACTGATCCAGTACTTCCCTTCTATCCAAAACACCCTGCCTAATCCTTCATCTTGCACAGTGCATGTAGCCCTTCTGCAACCTAACCGACTGATCCAGTACTTCCCTTCTATCCAAAACACCCTGCCTAATCCTTCATCTTGTGCCATGGATGTAGCCTGTCTGTCTGCAATGTGACCTATGAACCCACTACTCCAAATCTCCCTAATTACTGCCTGGTCCTTCATCTTGCACAGTGCCCATCTGCAACTTAACCTATTAATCCTCTATTTCCCACATCTCCCCAACACCCTGCCTAATCCTTCACCTTGTGCCGTGAATGTAGCCCGTCTGCAGCTTCTTGATGGTGGCCGTCAGGGCAGACGTTGGGGCATTGAAGGTGTCTGGACAACATTTAAACAACCTCAAGTGAGTCATTGTGAGTTAAACATAATGTACAGTGTAACCTTGCCATTCAGTTAATGTGAAGAAAACCCTTAAAGATACAGGAAATATCCTTCATCTTTATGACCAAACAGCAAACATAAACTGAGGATTTTACTTAAGCTATGATCAGTGGGAAGTACTGATTTCATTCACACTTGATTGGCTGGGGTAGGAATTACAGTTTGAAACTGCTTGAATGGCTATTTAGAAAGTTATATTAATGTCATGAAGTTCTAAATCTGCCTCAGGATTTTTATTCCAAGGAAGGTCATTATCATATTTAACTGAAATTTCATCTTTATTCAGCAGAGGCAATCAATTCCCTTCTTTTCTCAGAGCACTGGCTACGAAGGATAAATGTTGCCACTATTAATTATAATAAATTATGTTTTAAAGAAATGACCAAAAAATTATTTTGGGAAGAACAATCCTCAATTTCTGAAAGCTTGTTTTGTCCTATTAATATGTGTATAAAAAATTATAATTCCAAGGATTGAAAACTGAATCATCCCAAACTACATGATATCAGAACACACAATAAGTCTTGTATAGTTACATTTATGGATAAACATACACATAACATTATTATGACAATTACTAATCATACAATAATTACAATATGAAAATGTAAATTTTGAAAATCAGTGCGACCAGTTACAACCTAAACTTCTGTTAAACTTATAATAACAAAGACTTAGAGGATATACGGAAATTTTACCACAGATCAAGAGTTACCTATATTGAATATCAATTATCTTCTCAGAGATTATCACCATTTACCATATGTAGAAGACAGTGGTGGAAGCATAACTGACTTGGTGAACAGCCCAGCACCAGAGTGTACACACATATATATGCAGTACCATAAAAATGATATAATTGAATAGAACTGCTCAGATCTATGGCAGGACTCAAGTCCATTATGGATTCTCCAATTTTTGGCATGTTTACAAAGGCGGTTAGACACACCTGCATTAATCATCACTGGATCTTCAAAGCTAAAATTAGGAGAACAGTCTGTGAGTACAGACAGCAAGTCTAAAATTTCATTCTACTAAGCATTACTTAAAAAAAAAGACGTACTGAAAATTATGCTAAGGAACATGTTCAGGCTGGAAGACTTGAATGTTTTGGGCACAAAATCAGTGATAAACATGGTTTACAGATCTGTAGGTGTAACTGAATGTTTGTTGCCTGGAAATTTCACATGGAACTGAAAATGTTGTGATAAAACAACAGACGATGTCGCATGCTTTAATTGACAACTGAATTGGTCAACAGAAAGAGGAGAAATACAGATGTTTAATCCAAGTTGTTCTCTCAAATATTGATCAAAGTAATAATATACATTCAATAAAATATCACATCTCACAAACTAAATGGCAAACTTTTTAAACTATGGGATTAAGAAAGTAAAGATAGTTACACAGTAAAATGTCCAGAAGGTTTTCAGGATTAATTCCACATAAAAATGTTGCTATCTCCCACTGCAGTACACATCACATTCTTTTTACCCAAGTAACAGCTTTCTTGAGTACAGTTGTTCTACAATTGTTAATAAAATAATGTCAAAGCTGGGTTGATGTCATATGACAATGAGCCAAGATATTTCTGAAATCAATGAGACTATCCAAAACAACAGACCTGCCATAGATCTGAGTCCTACATACATACTGAACAAAATAAAGTTTGGGAACACAAACATTTTGGGGAATATTCCTTTGTTGTGAACAGTCACAAAAATATGCCAAAAAATCTTCATGACCCCAAACTTTTTTCAATATACATTGCACTACCAACGACACTAAAACAACAATCAATTGAAAGTACTAACAATATTTAGACCAAAGTAATATGCATTGAACATGTAAAGCAACATGTCAACATTATAGCTACAGATTTACTACTGCAAGAAATGCAAAAGTATTACAATCAAAACTTACACATAGAAGACAGGAAATTCCATGGATAACAGTTGGAATGTTATAGGTATAGATATGCTGTATTTGATTTGGAATATGGTAGCTATGAATAAACAGCCAAGTTGTCCATGGATTCCTGTCTCCATCTATGACCGATGTTATTCTGAAATCTTGGCTATGATATGGAATGTGTTAAACATATAATCTAAACAACTGCTACATCAGAAAGATGTGTGGATGGTGTGTTGTGGTTTGGTGTGGAGGATATTGCTTGAGGGGGGGGGGGGGGGTGCTGATGCTGGGGGATTAAGTGTTGTGAGAGTTGAGGTATGGGTCAGGAGAAAGGACAGGTCGGTATGGTTCTATGCATGATGTGGTGTGTGTGCGTGCGTGCATGCGTGTTAGTGTAAGTGTGTGAGAGACAGTGTGCTTGTGGTTCGGTATTGCATGTGTGAATGTGTGCTTGAGTATGTGTGTGCATGTATGTTAGTGTGTGTTTGTAGGTGTGAGTGTGTGTGTGCTCTTGAGAGTGTGTGTGTGCATGCATGTGTTAGTGTGAGTGTGTGTGTGTAAGAGTGTGTCTGTGTATGCTTGTGTGCATGCATGCATGTGTTAGTGTGTGTGTGTGTGCATGCATGTTTGAGTGTTAGTATGTGTGCATATCTGTGTGTGTGTGTGTGTGTGTGTGTGCAAGTCTGAGTGTTAATATGTGTGAGTGTGTGTGCATCTTCAAGTGTATCTGTATGGGAATGTTTATTCATGTGTGCATCCATATGTCTATTGGTGAAAATGTGAGTGTGTGTCTGTTAGTTTCTATAGTTGTGTGTTAGTGAGAGTGCCCTCCACAAGAACGACACAGACATTGTGTGAGGAAGAAGTGTGTTAGCACGGTTAGTGGGTGGTTACCATGGATATGGCCCCACACTACCTCAGTCAGGTACGTGTGTGTGCGTGTGACAATACAGGACGTACCAAGAAGTGTGTGAGAGATAGTGATTGTGATGGTGGGTCTGCCCAAGGAGTTCCAGCTGCTCTTGAGGTAGGCTATCTCAGTACGGAGGAAGTCCAACATGAAGCTAGTGTCTTGAGCCACGTAGAAGCGCGCTGCTCGTCCATAAACTAAAGGGAGCAGACATTGCAACATGGAGGGCAAGCTCTACTTCACAGGTGCACCACGTTTACACAAAATACAATCAACAGCCCTCATCAAGTTGATGATACGTCTTACATGAGACAACTTGTCTTGGTGTAGGAACAGACTTAGAGACTGAAGCTGTACGTCTAGTTAGATAGTTCAGGTATGAGATACCACACTAAAGAGTGTTACTCATCCCTGTTTTCCCAAATGATGTATTCCTGTATAAACCTGGTGCACCTGCTCACAGAAACAGAGCATGCAGACATCTATCTTCAGGTGGCTGGAAACAAACTTGTACTACACACACCTATCAGTGGGCTCTTCATGGGGGAACTGAGGATGTCACAATATAACTCACATATCGATGGGTATCATGAGACTTAATTAATCCAATATGTATCTACACTAAATTGGCGATTTTCTTGCTTGAAGTTTTCAGTGTTCCTTGTGGTCTGGATTATAATAGGTCTTCCAGTGGCATTTAGAAGTGATACACTGAAGGAAGAGAATTCAATGGATGTCAACTTCCTCACTATGAGGAACACAACTTTAGGAGTGTATATTTACTCCTTCATCATGTGAATGATGAAAGACTAAGAATATACTCCGAAACGTTGTGTTCCTCGTAATACAAAAGTTGTCTGACTGACTGACTGACTGACTGAGTTTGGTTTTTACGCTGCTTTTAGCAATATTCCAGCAACATCACAGCGGGGGACACCCGAAATGGGCTTCACACATTGTACCCATGTGGGGATTCGAACCCGGGTCTTCGGTGTGACGAGCCAACGCTTTAACCACTAGGCTACCCCACCACCCCTACAAAAGTCGTCATCTCCTCCTTATGGATTATAATAGTTTCTAGCTATTCACCTGTTTGACTTTACCAAGTTTCACTAACATACATTAACTGGCATTAGGCTTGTTCTCATAATACTCTCTGCAGTAAATCAAGTTATCCAAAGCTGTTCTCAAGACCATTTATGACAAATTTTGAAAAATGATACTGAATAAAAATGGGAAGTGATGAACAGGTAGGCGTATCGTGTACCATCTCAGGTGTAAATTTGTCTTACATCGTTACATCAATTAAATGTGACATCCCTGGCAGGCACATGATCCAAGCATACGATGAAGGTAACACTTTGACAAGCACACAAGCACACATTGAAGTAGCATGATAGCAAACATGGTGTCTGTCATCAAGAGCTGTGTTAGGAAAACAGCTCAAATAATAATTCCACTATTGTGACCTTTACTTAAAGGGAAATGACCAAAAATATCCAATTCTTTGTAAAAAAAAGATCATAATGACAAGTTCAAAAACACAACAATATTGCTTCATATATACCTTCAAAACAAATATGTTCAAATTTCTTTACATGAAACAATATGAAGCTTTAATTAAGAGATCATATTTGACAAAAAATGATCAATAATTTAAATCAAGTACAAAAATGAAAAATGAAAACTTAATGAAAAGTTTTAAGGATCATCAGAAAGGTCATTTCATTCTTATAAGACGACTCTTGAGAAGCCACCATCACAAGCAATGGGAAATATACACACAGAAGCTAATGAGCATGCAGATGACAGAAGTTAGTCGGGCAAGATGCAGACAAGGGGGAAAACTGCATGCTGAATGGGCACACCTAACATGGCAGATGACAACATGAAGATTATCGTTGATCGTCCTAACATCTGCCAGTTGCGTGACAGAAAATCCACGTCCGTATTGTAGTGATCGAGTAAGAAGTCAATGTCTAGTGGCAGATAGAAGGACAGTTGGTCCAAAAAACTGAAGAACACCAAAAATCACTCTCATTATCTCAAAATCACATTAGAATACATGTCAAGAGATAAGAATTTATAAAATGACACATTTAGCACCATAAGGTAGCAATGTTCCATAGGTAATTTATATCATCAGCATGATCACCAACCCAGGAAGCTTTCAACTAATATTCACTTGATGAACAGGGGGGACATCAGGTCAGTGGTCGACCTTTGATCAAGGTCATTTACCAACAATAACGCACTATCAGCAGTTTACACCTGCAACAATGGCTTTCAACAGTAATCTCAGTGTGATGGCACCTGATGCAAGTCATTATCACCAGGGAAATCTCTTGGTAGTATACACTGTATATATGTCAAATATTATATACTAGCCCATTATGTGGTCGTAAGGCATGCTATCAACAGTAACATGATGCCAGTAACAGATAGATCACATTGTCACAAGCCAGTTAAGTCAGTTCGGGGTTTCGTATTTTATAATAAAATCTGAAAATTTGAAAGGACTGCAGACTGCAGCATCCATCTGATATACTGGCAACAAGAATAAACTTATACATGATAACTTAAACTTTAGTTCACTTGAACATTTATTTGTTCAGTTTTATCATAAAATGTCTGCCTAACATTAGGGGTGCTGATACCACTGTTTAGTAGATAGAGCTTCTGATTGGTCACCTACTAAAGATATGAACAGGACAACACAAGGGCTGTTAGCGAGGTATCAGTATACTGTATGGGGTATCCATGGTCAGCGAGGTATCAGTATACTGTGTCTGTATGGGGTATCCGTGTTAAACATGGTGTCCTCATGGGCTAGCATTACATAAATGGCGTAAGTCTGAACTTGTACAGAGCCGATAAATAGTTAATGCGATGCAATAAGTTCACAAATTTCTTGAACAGCTCAGACTGTATGTTAAAGGTGCTTACGTTACATGCAAAACAGAAACAACCCTTCCCCTATTATCCAGAATTCCCTAAAACATTCCCAGGAAGATGTATCATGACTACTTCACCAAACCAGCTGATAACCAACCTGACCAATATCACTATTTGTCTTTGATCGTTACTGTTGTCTGAATTAGTAGAACTACACACCACATGCTTCTAACAACGTTAATAACAACTTCCTGGTGAAACATGGAAGACATGGGGAACTGTCTGCTTGAAGTCATGCTGTACTAACCATATTTCCTGGTGAAACATGGAGGACATGGGGAACTGTCTGCTTGAAGTCATGCTGTACTAACCATATTTCCTAGTGAAACATGGAGGACATGGGGAACTGTCTGCTTGAAGTCATGCTGTACTAACCATATTTCCTAGTGAAACATGGAGGACATGGGGAACTGTCTGCTTGAAGTCATGCTGTACTAACCATATGTTTGGCCAAACAGGGAGCGCCAGTATACATGGGGGTGCCATCACTACCATGCTGTACTAACCATATGTTTGGCCAAACAGGGAGCGCCAGTATACATCTTGGTTTCATAACATCACTACCAGTTTAGGAAAATACATGCCCGATATTGTACAACTTTGAAACAAAGTCATCATGCTGCCCGATATTGTACAACTTTGAAACAAAGTCATCATGCTGGCTATCTTCATTACTAATGAAAGAATATATGCCCAATGGTCTATTACTTTCTGGACTACTGACCAACTCGTGACATCAGAGCTACTGACCAGTTCATGATATCAGGGTTACTGACTAGTTAATTATATCAGGGCTAGTGACCAACGCATGACATCAGGGTTACTGACTAGTTCATGATATCAGAGCTATTGGCTAGTTCATAACAACAGGGCTACTGATGATGTCATGACATCAGGGCTGGTGACCTTTTCATTATATTTATTCTACTGACAAGTTCATGATATCAGGGATATTGCCCATGACATGACATCAGGGCTTCTGACTAGTTCATGATATCAGGGCTTTTGACCATGACATCAGGGCTATGGACCATGATATCAGGGCTATTGATGATCTGATGATATCAGGGCTACCGAGTTATTATATTTAGGCTACTGAGTGGTTTATGACATAAGGGCTACTGACTAGTTAATGATATCAGGGCTATTGCCCATGATATGACATCAGGGCTTCTGACTGACTATCAGAGCATTGGCCAGTTAATGATATCAGGGCTATTGACCATGATATGACCTTTCATTAAGGGCTACTGACAAGTTAATGATATCAGGGATATTGCCCATGATATGACATCAGGGCTTCTGACTAGTTCATGATATCAGGGCTATTGACCATGACATCAGGGCTATGGACCATGATATCAGGGCTACTGATGATCTGATGATATCAGGGTTACCGACTTATTATATTTAGGCTACTGAGTGGTTTATGACATAAGGGCTACTGACTAGTTAATGATATCAGGGCTATTGCCCGTGACATAACATCAAAGCTACTGATGATTTCATGACATTAACTCTACCAACCAGTTCATGACATAAGGGTTACTGACCAGTTAATGATTTCAAGACTACAAACAAGTGCAATAAATCATGGCTACTGACAAATTGATGCCATCAGTTCTATGACTAGTTAATAACAACAGGGCTACTGACTAGCTCATGACATAAGGGCTACTGACCAGTTAATGATTTCAAGACTACGAACAAGTACAAGAAATCATGGCTACTGACCAATTGATGCCATCAGTTCTATGACTAGTTAATAACAGCAGGGCTACTGACTAGCTCATGACATAAGGGCTACTGACTTGGCCATGACACCACTAAAAACTAGGCCTCTGCATCTAGGCTTCCAGGCATCAGTGCTACTTACAAGTAGGCTAGTAACCATATGGTGACCACCAGAGCTACTGAACACTACTATTAGCCCACACAACCAATTCTGGTTTTGTGTTTATTTCTAACGCAAGTAAAAGATTAACAGTCTATCTAAAACATGTAAAACATTTAACTTGAGAATAACTTCTAAAACTATTTTAAACATGGTCAGGGATTTTGACACTAAAATATTTTACTCCGACATATTCTTCTATCAAAGCACCCAGTTACAAAGCTACAACTGTATGAGTTCTTTTGTGTTTTCTCCCCCATATATTTAGTGGTACAGGGTAGGCACTGTTAAGAGCATGCGTCCTAGTGTTAGGGGATGCTGAATGCTACATGGTAAGTTTGAGTACACCTGCTGCAACAGTCAGCTTTACTGTCAGCGGCTCATAGTTATAACACAGGGTCTGATCAATACACTGACTGACTGACTGAGTTTGGTTTTACGCCGCTTTTAGCAATATTCCAGCAATATCACGGCGGGGGACACCAGAAATGGGCTTCACACATTGTACCCATGTGGGGATTCGATACCCGGTCTTCGGCGTGACGAGCCAACGCTTTAACCACTAGACTACCCCACCGCCCCCTGATCAATACAAATGTCTTTAGCTGAAACAGGTGTTATGGGAGTATAACATAGTATCATCAATCACCAAGGCAGCTTTAGTAAAAACATGTTTAAAGGAAATAAATCATAACACATTATCAATATTCTTGTCATATGTTTTAACAAAATAAAACTCTATGTCAAATATTCTACTAACATGCCCCAAACAGTTATTAAGACCACGAGACATGTTTTCATGGTTGCTGTGTATTGCCGTTTCATTGTTTAATGTCACTCAGCAATATTCCAGCTACATGATGGCAGCCTGTAAATAATGGGGTCTGGACCAGACAATCCAGTGATTGATGTCATGAGCATGATCCACAATGTCAGGGTACAATGACGCACATTCAACCAAGTCATGGAATCTGACCACCTGATCCACAGAGTCTGATGACCAAGATAGGCTGCCAGAGACCTACTGTAACTGGTAGATCCCCATGGGTCATTTCATGTTTAAAAAGTAAATCGCTGACACAAAAAACAAACTGCCATCATTGAATAGCTTCTAATGTAACAGCAATATAGAGTACTAAATAATGCTGATAAGCTTACACATTAAAATAGCTTTTGAAATTTACTTCCTTTCATTGAAAATTAACAATAAAATAATTACAATAAATATAAAAACTCAAAAAATATGATTTCCTAAAAATTGGGTGTATGACTAACAAAAAGATTTGCTGGTTAACAACTGTTACTTCATGGAATGTTTCCAAATAATGAATATTGTACACATTTTGAAAATCTAGAAGCACTTACTTGAGGGATAAATGCTAGAATCTGATCCTGCAGCATGTACAGTTTACTGGTTGCTAGGAGACCAATTTCACTGGAAGGCCGTCCAGTCAAACCAAGGCGGTTATTCTTTCCTGAAAATATTTAAGATAATTTAACCCAAAATGTAACATCTATTTCCTTAAAGTAACGAATCATACAAGAGTCATTATTTAGTACTTACTATGCCTTACATACTACTGCTTCAATTAAATGACCAAAACATAAAATGGGCAAGTGCAAATGTGTTATGCTTCGCACTGTTTTATACACAAATTCTTTGATTATTGAAACATTTTTTTATAAAAAAACTGGAAACAGCAATCAGCTGAGAGATCAAATAATTGATATATGATAACTTGGTACTGTTCCACTGGGAGTGTAGGCCTCTGTCAGTCGACTCACCAAGCAGGGAGTATATCTGGCTGAGCACCCTGGCGGGGTACACCTGGATGGGGGCCACGTCCTTCATTGTCTCCAACTCGATGCCCTGCTGAGACAGCTTCTCCTGGACCACAGAATCCTCACACAGGATCACAACTGTAACATACACAGGATCACAACTGTAACACACACACAGGATCATAACTGTAACATACTGGATCATAACTGTAACATACTGTAACACACAGGATCATAACTGTAACATACACAGGATCACAACTGTAACATACTGTAACATACAGGATCATAACTGTAACATACACAGGATCATAACTGTAACATACACAGGATCATACTGTAACACACAGGATCATAACTGTAACATACACAGGATCATAACTGTAACATACTGTAACACACAGGATCATAACTGTAACATACACAGGATCACAACTGTAACATACTGTAACATACACAGGATCACAACTGTAACATACACAGGATCACAACTGTAACATACTGTAACATACACAGGATCATAACTGTAACATACTGTAACATACACAGGATCATAACTGTAACATACTGTAACATACAGGATCATAACTGTAACATACACAGGATCACAACTGTAACATACAGGATCACAGCTGTAACATACACAGGATCACAACTGTAACATACTGTAACATACACAGGATCACAACTGTAACATACTGTAACATACAGGATCATAACTGTAACATACACAGGATCACAACTGTAACATACAGGATCACAACTGTAACATACACAGGATCACAACTGTAACATACACAGGATCACAACTGTAACATACTGGATCATAACTGTAACATACACAGGATCACAACTGTAACATACACAACTGTAACATACACAGGATCACAACTGTAACATACACAGGATCACAACTGTAACATACACAGGATCACAATTGTAACACACAGGATCACAATTGTAACAAACACACGATCACAACTGTAACATACACAGGATCACAATTGTAACACACACTATCACAACTGTAACATACATGGGATCACAACTGTAACAGGATCGCAACGGTAAAATACACAGGATCACAACTGTTACACACAATCACATCTGTAACACACAGGATCACATCCATAACACATGATCACAACACTAACACAGACTCTATTCAGTGTCTACAAACATGACTATCACAATAACATACACCTTCTTCACAGTTAATGTCAAACATTGATTTCTGAGCTTGACAATACAATTTACTCAGAAAGATCTGACCCAACAAATTCCACAGTGAATTTGAAACTACACAGGAAACAGATGGGTTGTTTTCCTCGACAGCCACAGATAAACTACTGTATCTGATATTTCTGCTTACTAATATGACAGATTACGTACCTTGAACAACAATATCTGGTTTTGTTTCGGACACCAGTCTTCTGTTCAGAGGATCAAGTTCCCCCGGAGACAGAAAGCCCTGAACGAGATGGACAAATGCTGATCAAATATATGTTCTTCAAGAGATCAATTCACACCTGTTTGCTTTATCATTATATATAGTTGCATATTATAAACATAATTTTCTTGCAGTTACAATGTTTTAACCTGATTATACTATGGCACACTTTTTATAACATATTTACTGAGAACAAGTAATGAGAATTGTGAAAATATTACATGTACAGTGGAAACCTGATAAGTAAAATTTTAAAGGGACTTGACAAAATTGTTTACTTATCAGGTATTTTACTTAGCCAAACTTATATAAACCTGCAAATGACAACCGTATGCATGTATATGTATGTTATGTAACAATGAACCACTTATCAGGGCTGGCCTCCAGTTGTCATTGTATTGTCATCTGCATGACGCCAGCGAGCTGTAGGTAGGATGTTTGTTTAACTGGAGACTGACTGACACGTGTCCCTCATGTCGGTTTATGTGGTAATCACTAATTTAGTTATCTGGTCTCTTTTGTTAAGTAATTTACTTCCAGGGACCGTGAGAAGACGTTTAGTTAAGAGGTATTGTTTACTTATCCGAGTTTAGTTAACCGAACTCTAATAGTGATAATTAATGAAGAAATTTGCCGGGACCAAAGAAAAGTGTTTACTTATCGGTCTGTTTAGTTATGTTTGTTTAACTGGAGACTGACTGACATTCACGTATCAGCAGTCCCTTTTATTTAGTTTCATGTCGGTTTATGACTGGTAATCACATTAAATTTAGTTATCTGGTCTCGCTATGTTATTTTGTTGCAAAATCCGTTTGGTTAATTTACATATTTCCAGTCTTGATTTTCTAACTTGATGAAAACAAACTATAATCCTTACTAATTCTAACAGATTTTTTTATTTTAAAAAAGACCTGTCGGGAACATCCGCCAGTCTAAGGATAAATGGTATTTAGTTAAGAGGTATTTTGTTTACTTATCCGTCAATATAATACTACTTTACAATATTATTGTTACTCTGTTTAGTTAACAAGTTGTGTCATAAAAAATCTTTCTGGTCATCAATCATATACATATTTTACTACGAACTCGATCTGAACACAAGTAAGATATCGCTTCAGGATAATTAATGAAGAAATTTGCCTCAACCCTAGGACCAAAGAAAAGTGCTACACATTTTCTATACAACTAACTGAAAATCATCCGGTCTGTTTAGTTAAGCGGTCTTTACTTAGGCGGTTTCCACTGTATTTTGCTCTTCAATGCAAGTGAAAATTAATTTCACTCTGGTAATGACTACAACACTATGTTTTTAAGCATGTGATAAAAATATAGCATTCATGAACGAATGACATAAGTGCTGATTAAACTATGTGCAAAGTGGGAATACAAGGACTGAGATGAGACAGTTAATTTTCCTTCAACACCAAGATTCTTGTGCAGAAAGCAATGTTTGAGCTTAGACTATTACTAATCTAAGTAAAACAACCATACTACTATATATGAATTAGTATTTGTCTCCATGGACATCGACCTATGTCTGTCTCACCTCGTAGATGAGTCGCCCCAGGATGTACATGGACTGTCCCCACATCTGAGGGATCTTGCCCCCAGAGAGACGCTTCTGGCTGTTGGGCTTCTTGTATTCGTCATCGACCTGAGTCAGTGAAACATTGAAGATTAGTGGGGGATAAGAAATAGCCCTGAAACATTGTTACAATCTAAGAAGTTTCATGTTGTCATGTTCCAACTTCTAAATACTGGTCAAGGACTTCATTATTTAAAACAGCATATCACAAATGGCACCAAAAACAAAAACATGGTAAAAACAAACCTGTGTTTTTGTTCTCAGTGGAAAACAATATGGCCCAGATATAAAAGTGCCTTACATATTGATACTAACAATTAATAGGATTTTAAATATTCCAATATTGCAGCTATATGGCAGTGGTCTGTTAATAATCGAGTCTGGGTCAGACAATCAAGTGATCGACATCATGAGCATCAATCTACGTAATTTTGATATGATGACATGTGTCAACCAAGTCAGCGAGCCTGACCACCCGATCCTGTTAGTCCAATTCTAACCCGCGTCATCACAGGTGAAAGCTTTCATTAACAAACAACACACTAGTGAGATTCTGATTGTCGGGTTGCTTACCTTGTCTCCAGGGACGTAGTACAACTCGGGCATGATGGGTACGCCATCTTCTGTCTTCATCATCACCTCATCCAGTCGCTGGCGGTACTTTTCGACCTGATACACAACAACAGATCATAGCGTCTGTGAATCTTGAGGTTCAACATCACCAATGCTGGATGAGCTTTTCTTCGTGGTCAATGTTTAACAAAGTAACAAACCAATGATCTATGACACAGGGGTGGAAATAACTTTAAAATTGATAGTGTACTCCAGGTACAGTGGCACATGTAATGTCACTTGCCCTGATAATTTTTCCACTATACTGGCCGTTTTCTTGCTGATTTTTTAAATAAACAACATAATTAACATTGGAAAGTCAACTGGACACCGGTACTTGCTTGCCCGACGACAGAAAAAACACTGGACTCGGACGTCGGGCAATGGGTTATTTACCCCTGTGACACCTTTATATGTAGCAATTCATGATTGATTCTGTTATACATCAAAGTGACTGTATCTGTTGGGCTTCGATAACAGGGCATGGAGCCATACAACCAATGTAAATAAATGACAACTATGCACATTGAAATGGGTAATCACATTTTAGGATATTTTCTCAGTGAAAGAAAACCATTTTATCACAGATGTATATTTAGATGTGTTGAGGTCACAGGAGGACATGTTGGATGTGTTCAGAATGTAACAACTTGCGTGATACATTTTTGCAAAAGCATTTCCCAAAAATCTATCACAAAATAGAGACCTATATATCTGATTACATAATACCATTTGAGCATCTAAACTAGTACAATCATTAGAACTCAACACAAAATGGTTGAAAGCAATCACCAAGTTCTTGCTAAAATGTCAAAAATGAAAAAAAACATATTCTGACACTGATATACTTTTTGCATATAGACACAGATATATCCAAACCTATAATCCTAATACACTTTTCTCATAATGCCATGTTAAGATTATTGACATGAACACAGACTATTGCTTTCTATCAATTATCACAATTCTAAAATCAAGATGATATATGTGCAAAACATTCCTGCCAGGTATTAAACTCCTAAACAATCAATAGTTATAAGCACAACCAAGTGATACTGAATGGGTACCTCGTAATGATGGGAATGCCACAATAACTCGGTGCCTAGTGGCTGCAAGAGTTGTATGCTCCCCAGGGGAGTTGAGATTGACAATGATGATGTGCCGTTGAGATTGACATCCAGTGAACGAGGGAAAAACAAAGTGCCTTTGAGCAGCTGAGCTGAGCTGTATATCAGCTATACAAATGTATGTATGTATGTATGTATGTATGTATGTATGTATGTATGTATGTATGTATGTATGTATGTATGTATGTATGTATGTATGTATGTATGTATGTATGTATGTATGTATGTATGTATGTAATACGTATGTATACAAAACTAAAAAAATACGATACAAAACTAAAATCTGAAACTAAAATTAATCACTCCTGCTTTGTCTGTTACTTCTGTCACATGAGGTTCATACATTTCATTATAAGGTTTATAGCTATACAGGTTAATATAACAATACTTTGTGTTGATCTGTAGCACGAGATTATGGCTGGATGTATTGCATGTATATTTTAGTTTCAAATTTTATTAAAAGGTTTCAACTTAAGTATCACTGTTTGTGCTTAATAACGAAGGTTTTACAAAACAGCCATGGTTCTTCTCATGTTCCAAGTTACATTTATTTAAACAAATGCTTTTATTAGTTTGACATTCAACATCATATTCCAAACATATGAGGGCAGTGGAGTAGCCAAGTGGTTAAAGCATTTGCTCGTCACATCGAAGGCCCGGGTTCGATTCCCCACATGGGTACAAGTGTGAAGCCCATTTCTGGTGTCCCCGCCATGATATTGCTGGAATATTGCTAAAAGCGGCATTAAAACAAAATCACTCACTCACTCACTCCAAACTTATTACAGAGGTCAGTAAACTAATTTGGTCTGGACCAAACAATGTGATCTTGTGAGAAAAGTATTAACCAAGTAAAGGAGTCTCACCTCTTGATCCATTTTGTTACTTTTGACAACAACTAAGGTTCCTGGGGCCTAAATTCTACTGTGAATCTGCTTGCAAGTACCACACCAGCACTACAGGTACATTGTATAAGCTGAAAGCTTCTTACCCTTTGTTTATCCTTGTTGAAGAGTCCGTCGAGGATAAAGAAAGCAAAGAATATGGGCCACTGACACTCGATGTTCTCAAACACTCGCAGCTCCCAGGGTTCATAGTGGAGTCTGTTGGGGTTCTGAAATTCAACACATCAGAGATATATCTAGATCTGTATAGAGGCTGATGTTCTGCCTAAAGTCTTCTGCAAATGTCAACATTCAGCACTGGCTTACAACAACCATAGCATATATTTAAATGGCGTTGTATGCATAAGAATAAACCTTTCATCAAAATAAATTCATACATCGGTTCAGCAGCTTCAAATTCTTCATAACTAATGACAACTGGTCAGACAGTTTATCTACTCCATCAGTGTCTTCAGACATGTAAGAGGGTAATGTTCACTTGTTAGCTTCTTCAGGTGAATTGTTTGAAGTTTGACGACCACCTCAATGGTATAGTGGTTAGAGCGTCCGCTTGGAGAGCAGAAGGTCTCGGGTTGGATTCCTGATCAGATCATACCAAAAGACGTTAAAATATGGTACTTGTTGGTCCCTGCCTGGCACCCGCATTAATGGGTACAACAAGGACTAGTCGGCTTTGAGTCAGTATAATGTGTCTGAGTGGGGTATTCATGCTTAACTGCGGCATGGTATCTCAGTGAGCTAGCACTATAAAACCAGCTTAAGTCTGGGCTAGTACAAGCAACCACACATACATACGCATGCACGTCTTCATATGAGCTAAATATTCTTAAGTACAACGTTAAACCCCATTTCACCTCACCTCTGAAATTTGAAAACATGGGAATACTTCCTCACCTCTTTAGCTGTCTTGTAGCCATCCCTGAGGAACCGGCTGCATCCATATCTACCCTGGAATACAAACATTCAGTGATTGTGAGTACAAATGTAAACTGTATGTACACTAACACAGAAAACTGACAAGTCTGTTGATCATCACAACAACGAGACCAAACATATACCAACCAATTCACACCACCGACATCAACTACAAAACAAACAGTAAATTACTAACCAAGCCAAATAATTAACAACACAACCATCAATCCACTGTCATATAGCTGAAAAATTGCTGACTTCATAAAATATCACAACCAGAAACAAAATCTGCCTACCTCCAGTTTCTCTTGAATGGTGCGTCGTGTGAGATCAATCAGCTCCACATCGTCCACAGAGAAGGCAGGATATCCAATCACAGTCAGCAGCCCAGCATCAATCTCCTACAGAGAAGCAATGCAGGAGAAATAATTATCACATTATTTTAACATATCACAAACACTCGCACTGTTGGTCTGTCTGATGCCACTGAATGGTGTATATTGTGACTGATCTTGACATCTGATCTCAGCAGCTGGTCTGACAACATCTGGCTTTGCTGGATCATTTTAACCACATTATCAACCCCTTCTTACACTAACCCTTTCTTCAACTCTTGAGTTGACGTGGGAGGTTGCCTCAAGTGATCGGGGTCTTAGATGCTTCAATCTATTGTAATAATAATAATGTGCATATATATAATGCACCGAATCCACACCCTAAAGCACACCCAAAGCGTTACATTACCCACTTCAACAGATCTGTGTTCACTCACTGGGTTTTCATTTTCAGCTCCCTGGGAATCATACAACCCAAGCATTCTGTTTTTCTAGAAGGTTAAGACATTACCTTCTTATCCTATCGGGTACCCATTCACTGGGTGAACTGAGGCAGATGTCTGACATTATCTTGTCAACTGTGCTACATGTGTTTCAATGTGTCACATGTTAGTCACATACAAGTCACAAGTTCTAATGGATTCCTGCCCAAACCTGTAGCAATCTTATTGTACTGAGACAATCTGGGGTATCGCTCAACTGACCTTGGATGAAGATTCCCTTGGCAACATGGAGTGAAGAATTGCCTAAAAGAAGAAATCAGTTCATAAAGTTAAAATAATCATTTAATCCTATATAAATGGAAAAAGAAGGGCATAATGAAAAGCATTCTAATCAAAGAACTTGATACCTCTGAAAACAGCCAACTGATAAAACACATGGGCTAACTACTGAGTTATCTCCCCTTACTTCAACATCCACCTTATAAAAATTCAAAATACAGTTTAAATTTTATAATTTTATTTTTACTATTTATCTAAAATATAGATTAGAAAGACATCTGTAATGTATGTAATAATTAGATGATTAACCAACAACTGTTGTTGCTGAATTGAGATTGAATCAGTGATGAAGAAATTCTTCTGCACAAACCTGACACTGCTGAGCTTCGTCCGGCAGAACGTGAATGATAGAAGACGGACCCCCCCGGGAGCCAAACAGATCCAACTCATTGATGGCATCCAGTGCAGCCTGACAAGTAAAGTACAAAATAAACTCTACACTAGAGGTGTCAGGATTCAATAAAATACCTGATACACCTACCCAGATTCAGGTTTCATTTCTGTACCCACTTTCCAGAAGTGCCGTAACTTACATTTTGAAATAATCATGACTAAACATGCAACAATATGACATTTTTCACAATTTTCAAATTGCAACAATGAGACTGATTAGATGATTGAACAAATCCATCACACTGGAGAATAATAATTTGTACTGAATCAACTCTAATGCTCATTACAGGCAAATATGTGAGCAATGATTTTGCAAATGGAGTGACTGGGTGAGTTCGGTTGAACAATGTTTCACTTGACTAGAACAGTGCTCCAGTCAAATCACGTCATGTCAGCTTTATGAGGGCAGAAAGCCATAACTGATGCATGCCTCAGTTAGGAGAACCCATTAGCACAGGCATGGAGCTAACAAACCAAGAAACATCATCTGAGGGAACAAGGATTCAAACCCAGACTCACAGGTTTCTGGCATGTCAAAGGGATGCAACTCTGCACAGCACATTATCGCACATTAGACAACTGAGCCACTGATGTCTCTTTTACAAATGAACAGAGAATCCACACGGTCATATAGTTTTTAATCAAGGAAATGAGCAGTCTACATAATCCTACCTTGGCCATGCCAATAGAACTGGAGTTAAGTTCTGGAAGGCCGTGATTGGTCTTGTCTCCTCGCTCCCAGATACCGTAGTCCTGAATACACAAACAACCAGAAGCTGACCTCAAGGATCATGTTTACACTGTAAGTATTTGACTGACAAAGATTTGCTTCTTTTATTTGAATTTTGTTAAAATCTTTATTAAATGTGAAAATCATTAGACTTTTGTTAATTCAAGATTAGATCAAATCTCTTTAAACAGGTTGAAGAGATTACAAATGGGTTAAAACTGTGTCATTTCATCAGCACTTTGCATTTTCAAATTGAATAAAACCTAAAGGTTGAGTATCATGATAACAAAATGACAATAAATGTCTTGAAGACAAGCCAATAACTGAAAGTATTAGAGCACATAGTATTAAGTCCTCACTGGTGTACGATATGCTGTTTCTATGTAGAAGACAAGGTTCTGGACAAACGCCACCTCATCTAGAGTGTAGACTATCTGCAAGCCTGGAACAGACAACATGAGTTGATCAGGGAGTTGCTCTTGATGACTGCTGGTGTAACTGGCCCCATCTAAACTAAACTGTTCAGTATGTCCTACCTGATATGCTTGATACAGATACAAATACTCAAAATTAGAAATCTGACTCATCATTGTTTCTTGTTTTTGTCTCAAGCTGCATTCATGAATATTCCAGTTCTATCATGGCAATCTGGAAACAAATCCTTGAACATGGACTAGACAATCCAGTGAATGCGCATAAGTTTGATCTTCACACTTGGGATATGGTGACAAGCATCAACCAAGTCAGAGAAATTGACCACCCAATCCTGTCAGTCGCTTCTTACAACAAGCAGTGTTTGCTGGACCAGTTCTAACCCATATCATCTAAGGAGTTGTTCCTTTTCAGTAAGACTGGCTTTTTACTGCTGCTCAAACTTCTAATAGCCACAATAATACTTACAACAGTAGGATACAGACATTCATATTTCAGTGAGCTAGGTTGCAGTATGGACAGGCAATTCTTACAATCCTTTATACTACAATCTCCATTAAGGTTTGATAAAGACCATGCACCTATGGTTGTTGTAAGAAGCAACTAATTGAATGTCACCATGACCCCTCCCGTGAGTCTTGGAATGATGCTCATAATAGCAATCACTTGTTTTAACTGACCCAGATCCATCTATTTACTGACTTACATCATACTGCTTAAAATCTATTAAAAAGTCAAACATTAACCATCAGATATAAGTGTATATTTTTCAGGTCTTTGAAAGGATGAAGGAGTAAAGATATACTCCGGAATGTTGTGTTCCTAATAATAAAGAAGTTGACATCCATAAAATCTCTCTTCCTCTTGTATATTTTTCAAGTTTTCAAACCAGCAGCATGAGTGATCTTACCTGTTGCTGTCATCTGAGCCAGAGTCAGCAGGAACAGCGATGTTGCGTCCAGCTGCAGATGACCCCATTCGTCGTCACCAACAACAGCCTTACCGGTCTTGCTGCAGTACTTAGCATGGAGGGAATCCTTGGGGTTCTGTGTCTTCTTAAACCTCTCCAGCTTGTCAACCTGCATCATCATGCATCGGAGCAGCCCTCGCATGTTCTTCACCACCGACTGAAACAATCCCATGATCCCACAGTGATGTCACGTCTGCTGTCTGTGCCAAAACTTTGGAGTCTACCATACTACCATCTAGTCAGATATAATCAACTCCTTATATTTGTACTTTTAAAGTGACTTTGTACTGCCACCAAGTTTTTACTTTTCCTTGTCTATTTGTATGAGTTATGAGCACACCCCAGTGGAGTTTAGCGCCATCTTTCACAGCTTTTGGAGACTGTGTTTTGAAAACATACCAACAACTCTCTGAATTTACAAAGTCTATACAAACTGTTGGTACCAAATGTAATTTGGTAATCAAGCACTCAGAAACATGTGCAATTTGAAAACTTTGTCAGCTTGGCTACATGGTTAAATCATGTAAGAGTGAGTGAGTGAGTGAGTGAGTTTGCTTTAACACTGCTTTAGCAATATTCCAGCAATATCATGGCAGGGGACACCAGAAATGGGCTCCACACATTGTACCCATTTGGGGAATCGAACACGTAAATCATGTAAGAAATCTTTCAATTTCCAATGTCGAAAAGAGTAAATCATGGTATGCTGAAATTATAATGGAGCAACAGGGGTGCAGACAACGTAGGACATGTTGGGGTAGTGACTTCACCTGTTCCAACTCGTATGCCTTGGATCTGTCTTCATCCAAGTCAGCTGCTTTCCTGTAGGCAAGGGCCAGGCCCCACACGGCCATGATGGAGTACACATTGTCTCGCACCCAGGCATGGCTGTTGTTTTCACTGGCCGATAACAGTCCTGTTGAGGGGTTCTGAAAGGACATGAATGATTATAGGGTAGAAGGTACTTTTAAGTAGTGTTTAAGTATCATGTTTATGTGCCAAAGCAAATGAAATAGACTCATGATATTTTGTTAGTTTTATTTCAGGATTTCAGGATTTTGTGACAGGTGTTTAACGCCATTACAATATTAGGTAATCATGGTAAGTAGTCCATATCCTTGTGTGCTTTTCTTTAAAATCAATGTAAACTATTGGACACGTTGAAAATAATACTTGACGTAAATCCATCACAGTATGCAGTGTTGGCAAAATGAAACTACCAGCATTATTACTGCCATTGTCTTCACATTATCCATAGTGACATTATCCACAGTGACATTATCCATAGTGACATTATCCACAGTGACATCATCCATAGTGACATTATCCACAGTGACATTATCCATAGTGACATTATCCATAGTGACATTATCCACAGTGACATTATCCATAGTGACATTATCCATAGTGACATCATCCACAGTGACATCATCCACAGTGACATTATCCATAGTGACATTATCCACAGTGACATTATCCACAGTGACATTATCCATAGTGACATTATCCATAGTGACATTATCCATAGTGACATTATCCACAGTGACATTATCCACAGTGACATTATCCATAGTGACATCATCCATAGTGACATTATCCATAGTGACATTATCCAAAGAAGGCCAAACAGAGAATGCAGGTGTCTTTTTAAACATTAACATAAACTCTGAAATATCAGTAACTCATCACATATGATTATTGAAATATTCAAAATACACAGAGTCTAGAGTCATTAGTAGTCATGGTAGCAAACACTAGTTTCTGATTATCCCCTCACTGTACTCCCTTCTGACGACATACTGTTACAGTATTAAGTAAACACATCTCATCCCCAACAAATGTTTTAGGTGCCACCCTTATATTTCCTGCAAAAACAGGACCACTGTCAAAGTGAGGGGCAGAGAAAAGACTTGAATCTGTGTGCCTTGTATAGTCAGTTTCCAAATGAGAACGATGAATTGTAAAAAATCTCAAAATAAGGAGTAGTTTTGTAAATGACAATATGGTACGTGGATTATTCAGTACCCAAAAGTATATGCTTGTTATTTTTATACCCATCACTAGAAAAGTTGTTTAAGAAACTATCATCATGTTATGTGTACAAGTTGACATCTTCAACGGAGGGAGCACAACGGTATGTGATCTAGGCTATCAGTTGTGGAAGCCATGGTGGCTGAGGGGGTTAAATCGCTGACTTTGTCTGTTGGCAATATTAGGTGCCTCACTCTGAAAGAGTTCGAATCCTGCATGGGACTCCACCCAAACATTACAAGAATTACAAGAAATATAACATACATTACTCTGAGGTAATAAGGTCTGTGCCTATTCCTAAACCCAAGGATCATAAAGGGGTGTTTGCCTCTAAAAATGTGAGATCCAGAGAGGGAGCTTCATACACGACACATGGGTGAACTAGAGCATGTACCAGGCTATGATACAGTGTGACAGCAGAAGTGCTATAGAGTGGTAATTGTTCCTCTGCACCTGGTAAACTACGCTCTAGTTGGGCTCTGTTCCACAAAGCAGTTCTCATACTCTAACAGGCTTATGAAATCATATCACTGTCACCCCTTTGTGGAATGGGGCCATGGTGCATACACCTCTTATGCCAAAAACGTTTACAATCAATAAAAACAATATGCACAGACGGATGATGATCGATCATCAATAGTGTACATACATATAGCAAACCTCGCTTCTATGTGACACTGTGGGAATATTATCCTCAGTTATAGATTCTAATATACTACCCACTTCACTATGTTCACTCATCAACAAGTGTTTTCGCCCATAATGACGTGTTCTGTTCCAAGTTCAAGTTCATGTTTACAAAATTAAATTCTGCGTACCTGATACTTCAATATACTTTTGTTGACAAGTCTCTGGTAATAATCTAAGCGTATTCCGGAGTTACTTCTGTTCCTCATATCGATGTGTTGGGGTTTAGTTACAATTCATTCGTGTATCATCCATGGACTTATGCACATCGTCATTGAAATTCACATATTCTGAAGAGAACGAAACGATGACCTTCAGATGTGTACGAGGTCAAGGTCGATATACGCAAAGCTAGTTTCCCGTACTTGCGTAATTCATCAGTCCCAAGTTAATATATCTATTTTTACTGATAATTTGGTATTTGATACTGATGATTGGGGATTGATGAGAATGATAAAATAGTCTTATTGGTGATCTAGTTGGACACATGCCGTATGAACGTAAGATCAGGATACGAAAAGTAAAGAGGTGATATCTGTAGACGAGATCGTTCTTTTCGTGACATCCAACAGATCAAGAAGGATAAAAAAAGACCGGTATATATTCATTTTTATGCTCTTTCATTGGATCACGTCATACCATATCCTGCCTGTAGACACTCAAGATATATATCATGTTGAATTTATAGCGGTTTTAAGCATTTGATCGATGATATTATGAAATATTTTCCCTTTAGACGTAGTGTCACCAGTTTTCGTCCCCCACACTGACATCAAAATTATGTATCCATTGGTAACAGATTTGATCGAAAGTTTTGAACATGTACATGATAGTTATTGTGTAGTTTGGGATGAAGTTGTTTTGATTTTTGTGTATGCTTCAGATGGCTATGTGAACTATCTCATGTCATTGACAAGGTCAAGATGGTATCAACACCATGATCATGATGATACGAAAAACAAAAATCGAATGGTTCAAACATGCAAGATAAATAAATACGCCAGTAAAGTGCAGGTGTTGACACATTAGGTTGATTAGCAATGTGCAGAGTATTTATTTTTGGATTATATGTTTTTGGACATCATACGTTTTTTGATATCCAATAACGAGGTGTTTTGGTTAACACAGACAGTAAATACTTGGATGATGGCTAGTAGTTGAGATAAAGTTGTCTTTTATAAGTTGATGATGTGTTTTACAGTTGTTCATGTGATTAACAAGTAAACAAGTGTTTCTTTAGTGTCCCAAATCCTATAATACAAGGATACTTCGCTGCGGTACTCAAAGACTGGGGGTCATGCAATATATTCTGCCCAGACATGCCCAAATTTACCATGTTTTAAGTTCTGGAGAGGATTTCAATTTGTTTTCTTTTGTTACAGAAAATGGGTCGCAGTTTTGGTAATTTGACCAATGTGAGGGGCATTATCACCTACACCCTCTCCCCCTTTGAGCAGAAAGCATTTGCTGGGGCTATTTCTAAAGGGGTGCCTAATATGTGGAGGCGGTTTTCAAGCCAAGTTCTCAAAGTTGTACCCCGTAAGTAAACTGCACAGACCGTTCCCATATTTAGCATTTGGGGATTCCAGGTATAATGGCTGCTTAGTAGCTAGTGCTTCAAGTAGCAATGTAAAAGGCAAACTGAACATAATGGGTATGGCAAGTTTACAGAATATATGCTTTTCCTTCTGTAGCATCTGCTAACTGGAATCCCCAGATTTTGCAAACTGTTTAGTCTTCTTGAGTCACTAAATAATTGTCCACACATTGTATCAAGATGAAATATGACAGCAAGAGTGAGTGAGTTTAGTTTTACGCCACACTCAGCAATAATCCAGCTATATGGTTGTCTGTAAATAATCAAGTCTGGACCAGACAATCCAGTGATTAACAGCATGAGCATCGATCTACGCAAATGGGATACGATGACATGTGTCAACCAAGTCAGTGAGCCTAACCACCCGTATCCCATTAGTCGCCTGGGTTACTGAAGATCAATTCTACCCCTGATTTTCATGGGTTGGTATTGACTAGAACATGGGGCTTGCTGTTAAAAGGTAAATTTTGGAGATAGAATATTTTTATAATCATATCTAAAAATGTTATTTTCTGCAGATTTGTTTCTACTGAAAGTGGTGTTGCTTCCCATAATACCAGAATGTCTTTATATTTCAGCCCTTGTTATAACATATCTGATCTATGACTGGGGAAAAGCAGAACACATGCGGCTCACAAGGAAGGACCCCACAGAATTTGTCAATGACAAATAAGTGTGCATATTGTGGAAACATAGAACATCTTGCTGGCCATTTGAAGAGGAATAGTTGTATTTGTATTACATCACTGAAATATGTCACAGAACTCTAAAATCTTGTATGGAAGTAGAATGGGCGAAGAGAAACTGAAACGGAAGATGTGATTTTTGTTTTTCAGTTAATTGAAATCTGTTCTTAATAAAATTACTCTTAGTGTTTGTTCATTATTTGTGTTTTGGTGACATTGTTGATATATGAAACTATTCAGTTGAGCCTCATTGTGTCAAACTTGTGGGTACCTGGGTAAAAATTCAAGTTATCTAGGGTTTGATACGACCACCAATAATTTGAAAAAAACTCTGAACATCGTGTAATGAGAAATTGTTCCCCAGTCTTCATACAACACAAGATTTCAAGGCTTACCGGTACATAAACATCAGTGACCAGGCTACTGGTTGTGAAGGGGCAGCAACTCTGGTGCATCATTGACCTCACTGTCACTGTCTTGATCTGCTTCATGGTACAGCTCCATGGTACAGCTCCAATTCATGATAGATTCACTAACAATCTTAATGTATTACACATTTGTCATTTTTAATTCGCTCATTTTCACATGACATGAGAACACATCAGTGTCTTGTTACAGTAATCAGCTTGCACCTTCAATGTTAGGGACCGCCTCCGTGGTGTAGTGGTTAGAGCGTCCGCCCGGAGAGCAGAAGGTCGCAGGTTCGATCCCCGACCGCGTCATACCAAAAGACGTTAAAATATGGTACTTGTTGGTCCCTGCCTGGCGCTCGGCATTAATGGGTACAACAAGGATTGGTTGGCTCGGAGTCAGTATAATGTGTCTGAGTGGGGTATTCATGCTTCACTGCGGCGTGGTATCTCAGTGGGCTAGCACTATAAAACCAGCTTAAGTCTGGGCTAGTACAAGCAGCCGCACATACACATACACACGCATGCACGTCGTCATATGAGCGAAATATTCTCAAGCACGACGTTAAACCCAATTTCACCTCACCTTCAATGTTAGGTGGGCTTGTTATTAGGCTCTTTTGGATATTGGCATTATGTTAGTAACAGAAATGAGTGAGTTTTGTTTTACGCCACACTCAGGAATATTCCAGCTATATGGCGGGGGTCTGTAAATAATCAAGTCTGGACAGACAATCCAGTGATCAACAACATGCGCATCGATCTACGCAATTGGGATACGATGACATGTGCCAACGAGCCTGACCACCTGATCCCGTTAGTCGCCTCTTACGACAACCATGGGTTACTGAAGATCAATTCTAACCCGGATCTTCATGGGTAGCAGTCCTTGTAATATGTGTATAAAAGTACATAATCCATGGATTGCACATTCACTCTACACTCGAACATCAACTTTAGAAAACAAAAAAAAGGGCAGTGGGGTAGCCTAGTGGTTAAACGTTTGCTCGTCACACCGAAAACCCGGATTTGATTCCCCACATGGGTACAATGTGTGAAGCCCATTTCTGGTGTCCCCTGCTGTGATATTGCTGGAATATTGCTAAGAGCAGCGTAAAACCTAACTCACTCACTAGAAAAAAAGAGTCCCACATGAAATTCAACAAATTCACAGGGACAAAATCACAGCTCTGGACTTGGTGAGTGATAGCAAAAGTGCAAAAACTGAACAGTAAAAGTTATGACAGTGCAGCTTCTCAAAGTAGGGAGAAACCAAATGGAATGCTTGTTCCAGTTTTGACCACAAGCTCTCCCATGTTCCCAAATGTGGAAGGGACAGGACACACCAGTGATGACCTTGTTTCAAGATTCAAGTCTCTTCATGAGATTAAAATTGTTAGTAGGTAAACTTTTGAGTATTTACTCACCAAATCCACATTTGTGTCATTCTGGACTATATTTTCTGCATTACCTGTCAGTTCCTGTGAATTTATTACAATATTACCTGTCATGCATTCAGGAACCAGTCATTTAATGTAAAAGGTGAGGGTACCTAAAATGTGACAGTCCAGGAGTTTGTTATAAAAAGAATAATGCACGTTTGTGGAGGGCCATGAAGAAAATTGTCATTTGGCAATAAAAAAAGTGCTTTCATTTTGTCTTTCCATTGAGGGTCGCGACAAGAAAACATTGTAGAAAGACATGGAGGGAGGATCATCCACAAATATGAGTGAGTATGGTTTCACGCCACTTTTAGCAATATTCCAGAAATATCACGGTGAGGGACACCATAAATGGGCTTCATACATTATACCAATGTGGGGAATCGAACTCGGGTCTGCGGCGTGACGAGCCAACACTTTAACCACTAGGCTACACCACTGTCCCTCCACAAATATGACAAGCATGAGGGGAAGGTCATTAATTTAGTACATTAGGGCACACACACAAAACAAAACGCTGACCAACCCTCCACAGGTATAAATGACCAGTCCCTTCAGCTTGCAGAATATCATCATCATCTTGATGCACAAAACCGAACACTTGTCACATTATAGCAGTTTATTACATCATCAAGGCAATAACTAGTGACCGAACAGTAACATTTAAACCATAGTAGACACCAATGGTTTATTCAAATCACAATTTCAGACAAGCGGTCTATGCAAAGTATATACATCTGGGATGAAACCTACCAGGCCTATGGATTTCCACTTATCTCAGACTGGTGGCTGTGTCTGACAATGTACGAGGTGCGTTGGGTTAGTTAATACTGACTTGACCATGTTGACAACTGTTTGTAAGTAAATAGTTATTTACCATTCATCAAATAGCATGCTTCCTCTCTATGTACATATAACAAAACCTCATTCTGATAGATGTGTGATTCAGCTTTTAAGGATGGGAATATTTGGATCACTCATCAAATAACGCAATGTTGATGGATTTGAAACATTCTCAGATTACCCAGCTGGTAACACAGTCAGTCTTAAGTTCTTTGCGTGTCATTGTGGAAGTACAATGTAAACAAGCCTTTATAGATAACAATTTCTCTATTTGTGAGTGTGACATTTCAATACAGATTCTTGTACCGTTGTACATCGCTCCAGATTGACAACGGTACAAGAATCGAAACGTCCCACTCGTGAAATAAAGTTGTTATCCATTAAGGTTTGTCTATACGGTCACTCTTGCTTGACAACCTATGCCCGAAACATTGCATGGTAATTTATTCAAGAAGTTGTCCTCCATAAAGTATCCTAACTTTCTTGTTATTCATCAAATTCTAAAATACCAATCAAACAAAACACACAGTCAGGTGAATATTGCACATTTCCACATCCCAGACATGACAGGTTGAACTCTTCATGAAGGATCTACTCCAGTAATACAATGTGGAACGGCATGTAGACTGAGTGAGAGTCTCAACATCAGTGTGAGTAGACGACCATGCATTTGAGGAAGACTTTTGGAATGATGGCGGGACCTCTCGTCTGACCTCAGGAGGATAATTGCTGCACAGCCTGAAATAACAGAGAGAAGTTTCTTTAGTGCAGTAATTATCACTGGTTTGCAGGTCTGTGGCTAGTGACAAATCCAAAGGGCAAATGTGAGCGAGTGTATTTAGCTTGACACATCTTTGACACATGTCATGATGTTGATCACTGGATTGTCTGGTCCAGATTTGATTATTTACAGACTGCCGTCATATAGCTGGGATATTGCTGAGTGTGGCGTTAAACAACAAACCTGTTTGGAAAATGTTTATTACTTCACAGTGTATCAACACTTCATGTGGGGAAATCCTGATGCTTGTCTCAGATGTTAACCACATGAGTGACACCCACTGGTTTACGGTTCTGACAAACCAAGAAACATAATGAAAACAAGGCTTCGAGCCCACAATTGAAGGTTGCTGTTGTGCCCTTTGGATGCAACTCTGCACAGTGAAGTGTTCTGCCTGAGACGACTGAGCCACCACTGACCCTTGAAAGTTCGAGTATTTCATCAACCGGAAAAATCATACTTAAAACTCCAAGATAACATAAATCAAAAACTAACAATTGTGCTTTTACCAAAATATTAAGTGATACCCATATACTTAAGAGTCTACACATTGTAAACAATATTATCACTTTTACATGCAGTTATTAAGGAACAGCCCTTTCATAAAAAGATTATATTTATTGCTAGGTGAAAAAAACAACAACTTAATATTATATTAATACAAATATGATTGAAACATCACATATTTGGCATTATACAATACAATTTACCTTCCCAGCTCCCTCTAATGATGCGATCAGTTTCTTGAGGTCAGTTCTGTCTAGTTCAAGGGAGACAACTCTGTTTTGATTATTGCAGTCAGCCACCTGTAGGTCAAGGTTGAGGAGTGGGGAGTGGAGAGAGGACAGCTTATCACTTGACATCACCAACTGTCAATGCAAAAGTTAGAAACAATGTCATGAATAAGAGAGTGAGCGTAACTTTAACATCACATCAGCATTGTTTCAGCCATACATGATGAATAAGATTAACAATATCTATCAAACAGCGCAATTGTTATTCATGAGTTACTGAAAGTTGTTGAAAATCTAGTTTTGAATCTAAATGATTGCCCACACCTGTAACACATCTGACATAAGAGAGTCTTTAGTTCCCAACTAAATACTACATGCAAATTATTTGCAGAACATTTTCATACTCCATGAATGAGCCCAAACATGAAATCTGCCCCAAAAATGTTTCAGTTAAATTCAGTGTTACATGTCTCATGCAGACAAACATTCAAACAGCTGACCATAACAGGGATGCCAATGTGACATGGCTGTATTAGTGTATTTGTAATGTCAATGATGCAACTTCTGTATCTGTAGACCCATGAAGATCTGGGTTAGAATGTGCCTTCAGTAACCTATGCTTGTCGTAAGAGGCGACTAAAGGGTTGGGTAGTCAGGTTCGCTGACTTGGTTGACACATGGCATCAGTTCCCAATTGCGCAGATCAATGCTCATGCTGTTGATCACTGGACTGTCTGGTCCAGACTCGATTATTTACAGACCGCCGCCATTTAGCTGAAATATTGCTGAGTGCGACGTAAAACTCAACTCACTCACAACAAGACACTAATTTGTACCTCTAGCCCCTCGCCTGGCTGTTCTGTTAGCTGTACTCACTCCCGTAACTGGATTAACTCCCGGTACTTAGGGAGATAATGGGCACATTGTGTGAAGCCCATTTCTGGTGTCCCCCCCCGTGATATTGCTGGAATATTGCTGAAAGCGGCCTAAAACTAAACCCATTCACTCACACTGAAAGGTTCATCATCGGGAGAAGATGGGATTCAAACAACAATTTAAAAATTTAATCTGTCATTGTAGATGGGTTTTTTATGTTTTTTAATCAATATTGTCAAAAAAATATAACTGAATCAATTTTTACTACAAAAGGACTTTTTTACCGAGAAGTTATACTGATACTTTTTTACTGACTTTTTCCTACAACCCTCCAGCCCTGCAACTTAAACGAATTAAACAAAAAGTAAGAGTATGATTCTTTATTATCTATAAATTGTTTGTTGTTTTGCAAATGTGAAAGAAAATGCATTATAAATTTTACTTTGGATAGATGACAGGGATCTGCATGTGTCAAATTGTTTCTTTGCCATGCTGTAAATATACTGATAATGATATATTGAATACAGGGATTGGGATGGAGACCTTCGACATTTTCAGGATTATTAGCCATTTTCTGAATTTAGAATGGGCCACTGCCCTTGTATCAATAGTAAACTTCAAAATGGCGGCGGTCTGTAAATAATCGAGTCTGGACCAGACAATCCAGTGATCAACAGCATGAGCATCGATCTGCGCAATTGAGTACCGATGACATGTGTCAGCCAAGTCAGCGAGCCTGACCACGCGATCCCGTTAGTCGTTTCTTACGACAAGCATAGTCGCCTTTTGTGGCAAGCATGGGTTGCTGAAGACCTATTCTACCCCGGATCTTCACGGGTCTAGTGGCTTGTAACAACAGGGGTTTATGGGGACGGGGGCTAGAGGAATGATGACGTTTTCTTTACTTGTGTTGTGTTTTATTGCTTTCGCATTCAAATATGGGAATAATTTTCTTTTGCACAGGTATCTGGTACAAAACAAAGGGATCTACTGCAGTAGGTATCTGGTACAAACAAATGTATCCACTGCAATCTCAATGGTACATCGTATTATCGGGGAGCTTACAACTCTCGCGCCACTATAGGTGCACCGAGTTATTGCGGCTTTCTCATCTTTCCGAGGTACCCATTCCCAGCTGGATGGACTGGGACAAAGAGTCACAGTACTTTGTTCAAGTTTACTGCAACTAGGTGTTTGCACGTATTCATGTGCCCACCATCTGGTCATATACCAATGCATTCGTGGGTTCTTGTAAGTGCACAGGGTTGTGTACTGGGTGACAGGCCGGGAAAGCCACATTTGAAAAATCACTATTGCAAGGAAGACCACATTTCAATTACATGGCTGTAGCCGGTAAAGCCACATTTCCAATAGATTAATTAATTAATGCATTACCGTAACCGGTAAAAGAGTGTCCCCATGTATATTGTTTTCACAAGAAACGAATAATCTTTCTTACTCACAAGCGTTGTTTACAAGAAACTAATAATCTTTCCTACTCACAAGCGTGGCGTTTAGCTTCTTCACTCATTGTTTATTACTCAAAATGGTATATGTCGAGTGAAGGTAAGTTTTTAAAAATCTTATAATATTATCCTTTAGATGAATTATTCATTTCACTGGTCCATGATTGTAAAAACTGTCTTTCAGGATTGATTCAGATTTTGTTATGATCCAGGATTGAGTGTAATGAAAGGGGTTTACAAATACAGCCGCATTTACAAAATATATGTTTCACATGATTTAGCCAGGGAGCATCATCCATAATATAATCTAGAATGAAAGCTGCTATTTTGTTGTTTGGATGAGAAAATTTCAATTTGCACCAATAAGTAATTAATCGTTTAGAGATTTGGAGCTGAATAGGTTGTCTTCCAAGTTCTCCATAAACCATAAAATTCGGGGTGTTTTATCTAAGACCGGTAGCTAATTTCAGGAATTTAAAATGAACACGTTCAACGGCATCGCAATACCGGTAAAATACTGTCCCTAGATTAAGATACATCTAACAAGAACCTAAAAGGATGGCACAATAAGGTAAAGAGACTTGTCCAGAAGTGCCACCCTAACATTTACGAGATAGTAAAGTTATTTCAGCGTGAGCAGTCTCTCACAGAGGTTGCTGTCCTGAGACTAATCTGACCAGTGGACAGCACCTTCACGAAGAAAGAAATACAGAACCATTGACGCTCGTATCGCATCACTGAAGACCAACCTTCTGAGCCAACACCTGAGTGACATGGAGTATACGGATCATGTGGGCGACCTCCTTCATCTGCAGTTGGGGGTGTACAAAACAATGTTTCGTGATCTTACGCCATTTTATCTGTTTGTACACATGGCAACAAACTAAACCATTATCATTATTATTATGTTTTACAGATTAAGATTTATTATTATTTTGTGATATTATTATTATATGCAATATACCTATTAGTATATTATATTGTGCTAATTGTAGAAACAAAACCTGTTGTGATCTGATTAAAGTTATGAGGAAACATGCCTTGTTTTGTTAAATACATATTCACTAAGCATGTTTTGACAGCATACCCAGGAGAGCCACATTCCATGTTCACGCAACCGTAACTATTGCCGGGAAAGCCACATCAATTTATACTATCTGTTTCGGAAATGTGGCTCTCCCGGCCCGTAACCGTGTACTGTACACTAGGGGTTGTTACAACCCTGAAAGAGTCTGCACAGGTGGGCTCGATCCCGACACCTCAAGCTTGCTGGATCACGAGCCTTAGCCAGCTCGCGCACCACGCCCCCGTTATAATACTAAATGTGTTGATACTAAATCCCTTTAAATAGAAGAATGATTTTTGTCATAATTCCATGTATTTATTGCATGTTAAAAAATAATGTACAGCATTTTCGATCTTATGACCACAAGAGCAGGAGGGGCTGCCGATGATATGTCTGTCAGTGAGTGAGTTTAGTTTTACACCTCACACAGCAATATTCCAGCTATATGGCGGCGGTCTGTAAATAATCGAGTCTGGACCAGACAATCCAGTGATTGAAGAAAGTCTCATCCTTTTCATTGTGTTTCATTAATAGACTATTATATAATATATTATGAACGGTTTTCTCTGTAAAATAGGTTAATTTAAGAGACTAGTTGTTAGTCTAAGGTATCCACTACAGTAGGTATCTGGTACCGTAAAAGGAACACACGAAATTAATGGGGTACATAACAAGGGTATGCATTAGGTTTGGTATTTTGTACAGTACTAGGGTAACCACTTCGTAAGGTATATGGTACGGTACAAGTGTTTCCACTGGCGTAGGTATATTGTACAATACAAGGTTATCAACAACAGAAGTTACCTGGTACAGTACAAACGTATCCGCAACAGTAGTTATCTGATATTATACGAAGGTATCCACTGCGATAGGTATCTAACACAATTAATGCAGGGGTATTCTCTTCAAAGGTGTCTGGTACAGTATAAAGGTATTAACTACAATAGATACGCTTCGGTACAATATAAATACATCCCATGCAGAAGTATCATGTACAGTACAAGGGTTCCCACTATAGTAGCCAAATGGTACTGAAACGGTGCCCGCTAACACTGTATGTACAAAGTTATCCACGACAGTATTAGGTCTCCATAGCCACAATAACAAATCAGGTATCTTGTGCAGTGCATGGGTATCCAACGCAGTAGATATCGGATGCAGTAAAATGCGGCATTATCTACTAAGCTGAAATCCGTAATTGTATCTCATAGAGTAAACATTAGAGTAGATACAAGGGTATCCACACATGTAGATATCATGAAGCTTTGAACAAGAGGGGCATTTATGCATGTACTATTGTTGTTGGTTTATTTCCTTCCTCTCTCTCTCTCTCTCTCTCTCTCTCTCTCTCTCTCTCTCTCTCTCTCTCTCTCTCTCTCTCTCTCTCTCTCTCTCTCTCTCTCTCTCTCTCGTCATGTAAAGCAAACAAAATTGTGATCGGTTGAGTACAGTTAGTATCACCTTGTTTCAAACAAATGGCCGCTTACCATCTTATCCTGGTGGCAGTGACTCATTGCTATCAATATCAATCACTTGCTTGTTTGGTCCAAACATGTTTGTTCCAGCCTCTGTCAGTTAACTGGAATATTGCAGATTGAAGTGTTAAACAACAGACAAGTAGATATTGCTTGATGTAGAAATTCCAACTGAAAAGTCCAATAGTTTGTGAGCTTGCTAACAGACTTAGCTTCTTTGGTCATGCAGAGAGGGCATCTGGCTTCAGATGAGATCTGTGGTAGTCTCGATCCCACAAGACAGAAATGTCATTGCCACTATCTTTTGAATTGTCTAAAGTAGCAGAATTGAAGTTATGTTTGACCTGAGGTCAGAACCAAAGATGTTTACACCATCAGGAGCCTGATAAAGTAAGAATGTCACTTTTCAGATGACTCAACAACATGAACACAAAGAACAGGAATATTATATTGAGATTCACAAAACAGTGGCCAACTTTAAAGTAGTGAGTAGCATGGTTGATTACACATACTATCTAGAACTCTAGAAGGGGGTCCACAGCAGTGGAAGGGCACCTTATACCGTCGAGGGGTATTTGCTACAGCATTGCCACTTCTGCTGTACCAGGGGTCCATGTTCCCGATGGTATCGACTAGTACATAAGATGTCGGTTACATTGGAATGATTCTACTACCGTTTCCACATCCACCCTGGCACACTTTGTCTGGTACAGTAGACGGGTACTTGCTACTGTAGGCGGCGGTTTCTAGGCCCACATGTCCATGTTCATGACAACAAAGTGAATTAAACGTAGAACACATCGGCAAATTTTAGACTTATAACAGAAATATAGATGCGTGTCTAAGCTACAAACATTTTATCTACAGCGTGTGATACCGAAGTGGCTGACCTCCGCACTGGAGCTCAGTACAATACGTACATGGATCTTCAAGCCGCCATTGGAAAATATTGCAAAAGCAATAATGTGCAACTAATTAAAGGTATTTTAACATACAAAAGATTACCCCGATTAAATTCACTACTGATGAAAAAGAAAATCCATTCACTTTGCTATTTTAAGAAGAATTGTATTACGGAAAAATGATTTGTAGATAAATGTTAGGGCTGATTTCCACATATACAATTTATGATCTGTTAATACTGAATATGGCTTTATATCTTTCAGCTAACAGTCGCTCAATCACTGCAGCGAATGTGAATGTACCCACAAACAGGCGAACATATCCCGATAAGTTTGTCTACAGTGCAATATCACACAGATGCAAACACTCGGGCCCAGTAAGAACAACCAGGTCTGGTGTTCGACCCAAACAAAGGTTCCATGTATTTACATTTTATATCATTATTAAAGCTAGTTGTCTGAAATTAAGGCCATGGAATGTAGAAGGGGTCTCACTTGAAAGTTTGTGTGCGTCTCGAAACAATGATAAACTGGGTTTTTTCCATATCATATTAACATGAATACAAACAACTGTAAACAGTTATATAAGCTTACTCTGTATTTGAAAAAAACGCACATATCACTCATTTATGGCTCTGCATTTACAGATCTTACAAGATGGACTGCCCTTTTAAATTATCTGTCATAGGGAATCGTGACTTGGATGTTCTGGTGGTAAAAAACCTAGTGGAAGAACATAATCATGAGGCATCAGAGGCTATATTCAAATCCTATCCAGAGGTACGCTATTGTTAACATTATAAAGCTTCATGACTGGTTCCCTGCTTCCAAATCTGGTAATGTGAACCACGCGCTGAAGAATTTCTAAGACACCATGTATAGTTCAGCTTTGAATCTGTAATAAAATGCCAGAAATGACATATGTGTAGCACCTTCTTGCTTAAAGGTTGGTTATATATTATCCACAGCAAAGAGTATTGACTGAAGAAGAAAAGAGAATGGCCAGTAAGACGTTAGATATCAACATCCCTGCTTCGAAAGTAGGTACATACTTGGCATCTCTTTCCGGAAAACATTTACAAGCCAAGGACATTCAAAACGTCAAAAAACAGAGGAGACACAGAGGATACAAGGTTACTGGATGTCATCAATACAATACTGGAAGAGGATGCAGAAGCGATTGTCACATTAACTGTCAACAAAAATAACATCATAGACTTAATTTACCTGCAGTCATCTTCTATGAAGGCAAACTACTCAAAGTATCCGGAGGTACTTATACTTGACACAACTTACAAAGTCAACAACTAAAATATGCATTTGACATCTCTAATGGTGGTCGATGGCAATGGTTGTGGTCAAGTCGTAGCTCGTGGACTGATGTGCTCAGAGAAGAATGACATGATGACTCAGTTTCTGGACATGTTTGTCGTAAACAATGCCATTAGCAGTACAGAAACTGAAGTCATTCTTATTGACAAGGACTTTAGTGAGACTGGTGCCATTGAAGGGACCATGCATGGCGTTGCAATCCAGCTCTGCATCTCGCACATCCACTGTGCTATGAAAAGGCGCCTTAATCAAGAGGAGATAGACGAAGAGCACAAGATCAAAATTAGGAAAACTCTGCAGGAAATCACTTATTCGAATTCACAGGAAACGTATGATAAACTGAAGGAGAAGTTGAAGATGCAAAGTTTGTGTACTTCAGGCTTTTTCCAATATTTTGAAGACCATTGGGATCAATGTCGAACCAAATGGGCCTTTTACATCCGCCAAACACTGCCCAATTTTGGCAATAAAACTACAAATTATATTGAAAGTTTCCATCAAAAACTGAAGGGCATTCTTTCGAAAAATACTGCTTTGGACAGGTGTCTAGAAGTTCCTGTGTGATTACATTGCATTTAAAAGTGACCAGAGTTCTACAAAAGCCATTGTTTCCATGACCTCTCAGTCATATGATCTAAAAGAACGATCGCCACTTGTTGACAGACTGTTTTCACTAAGCACGGGTTATGCTGCAAACCCTATGGCCAAAGAACTTAACAAAGCAAAAAAGCGTGTTACCGTTGCCGAGGTGAAAGATTATACGGGCATTATACAGTGACTATGGCAGAGACAGAATCATACAATGTTTCTTTAACGGATAATGGCTGCGCCTGCTCTTGCTCTTTTTCTAAGACGATGCTGATGATTTGCAACAGTCATGGATAGCAGAGAGGTGGCACAAAAGAAATCCTTGCACTACTGGAACTTTTAGAAGAACTCCTCAGACCTCCTCGACATCACTGGAACCGTCATCCTCCACCTACCCCATGGTCTCTTCAACCTCCTCCTCAGAACCTGAACACGTTGAAACAAAACGACCAAAGTCTTCAGTGGGCACAGTAGTTCCAAAAACTGCAAATTCCATGTACATATCTACCATGGCCATTCTAAAACAAATTGCCGGTACGTTATCACTATCAACAAATTCAGAATTTTCAGAGACGTTAGATCAGTTGACCTTCCTGCACAACGCCTGGGCCCAGGGTGAAAGTCTTCCTTTACACAACATCGTCGGAATGAAGATGCCCCTCACGATGTCTCAAGTATCACAACTTCTCCCTCTGAGTTATCAACTGAGTCTTTGTCGCATATATCGGATAAAGTAAAAGTAATTGACCCCAACAAGAAGATTCATTTTCGACAGCGTCTCCAGCTGCGGAAAACAGTCAATAAGCAAGCACCAGAAAGGAAGACAGCTCTTGGACTGAAGAGGAAAAGACCATGCCACGAAGACTCTACAACTAAAAGAAAGGAGCTGAAAATGGAAAACATGAGTACATCAAAGCCATCTCAACTTTAGCCAAGAGGATAACCGAAGAACAGCTACAGAAGCTTTTCAAGGCAGCAGAAAATTCCAAATATATCAAAGTTACAGATGGTTCATTCAAGATAAGCATGGCCTACAACAATCCGGTTCTTTCCCTTGAGGCAGAAATTCAAGAGGTCTACCCCAACAATGACTTTGAGTCAGATGTTGTTCCAATTCTTCTAAACCGTTTGAAGAAAAACTTTCACAACATCTCTGACATTGAAGGAAAAACAGATGTAGCTCATGTGATGACACTGGTTTTGGCATATGCGTACATGAAAAATCTAAGCAATGATGAAACAATACCAACTATCTATGATTCTCTTAAATCCTTGGATCCTGAAATGATAGATGACAACTGTCCAGTCCTCCCCCGCAAGAAATGTGATGCAAAGTTCCGAATAGGAAATAATTCAATCACTTTGGGTGACCTAAAGGTGTTACAAAAGAAAGGATGGTTAAATGACAGGGTTTGTACATTATATTTATATCACTTATTTATTATATTTACTTAAAGGTATATATATATATATTTATATATATATATATATATATATACATGGATGATTTGATAGACAATTTGTGCATAGTTCATATTTTTGTTGCAGATGATACATGCAGTTCTGGGATATCTTGCACAAGAAGCAAACACATCCTGTCCTAGTGAAGTGTTTGTTTGCCCTCCTTCCTTGCGGTGAAATGGGATAACATAGATTTCAGCTGGATGTTTGAGCAGGTATATCTTTGTATATAGCATAGAACGTAAATGCTATATCGCTTTGTAATGATAGGTAAACTTTATGGTTGTTGTGGGAAAAAAATGGTCTGATAGTAATGTGTTTGGGTTTTGACATAGGTACCACTTGCAGAATACCACTGGGTCCTTCTGCCAATCTGCACTAGTCATCACTGGATACTTATGGTTGCCAATATGAGGACGCATGATATAAGTATTCTGGATTCCATAAAGTCTACAGTGAGAGCTACGAGATACATTTCACACTGGCGGTAAGTACTGACAATTTGACTTATTAAGCTACTCATTCAAACAAATATTCGAACATCCACATGAAATGGTCTTACAAGGTGATTTAAGTACATGTATACATGAGAGGGTTCCTGTCTCCCTGTACACTGACGTTCTGAACAAAATCTGGTATAAACCTGCCCCAATGACTTAATGGTCATCATTTTTGGTGGATAATGCTGGTCAACCTGAACATGTCGTTAGTTGACTTCACCATGGTCTGTACCTCTGCCAGAGACGATGCATTGCAGATGGTGCCGTTTGGAGTCGTCTGGCAACTTCTCTGATGTTTATTACATTTTGCAGCTGTCTAATTACCTAATATTCTTTCTATTTGCCAGGCTGGTCGTCTAGGCGCCACTGTCGCAAATTAATATAGTGCCATGATTCAGCAAAGACAACCTCTTTACTCATATGTGTTGCACATGCATATTGAAAAAATTATATGCAGTTTTGCTGTTGGGTTATTTAAAACTTTTTAAAGACTTCTGCCACATTTGTGCCAAGATATGTTCTTGGGAACAATCTCTAAAACACAACCAAAATGTGGACAGGACAAAGATCACATTACAGTACTGTACATTTAGAAGCATGTTAAGTGTCACCACACAAAATGACTGTATTGCCCACATTTACTAACATTAGGCAATATACGTTTCATCCGGCGGCCATATGAACAACGTTGGAAATCTACGTATCATCTGGCTGTCAGATTTACACACGTTTAAAAGGGTGTTTAAATTAACGTACACTCAACTCTGCATTTACATGTATTTCACAGGTGTGTAAATCTGGCCATTGTTTTCATGTGTTTTCTAGCATGTGTAACATATGTAAATGCTGTGATTGTAGGACATGCATTTTAATACCTTTGAAATCTCGTATGACCAGGGTTAGGTTTGCCATATATTTAGTACACGCGTAAATGGTTGGTAATGGATAAATAGTGTTACAAGATTTACACTATTTTAACATGTATTTCAATGGTTCTGTAATGTAACTTTCACATATGGTTCGTTAGCGCGTCGGACCACGCCATAATGCACGAAGGTCATTAGAAACACATGGCGAAGTGATACCCATGACTGAGCACCGCTATTAACGTGCCTGCCTTTCTTGACATACACATGATGTCTGTTTAAAAGGTTCAGATATTGGGTCTGTTGGCTAGAGCGATATGTATGTTAGGGAGTGTGTGTGTGTGCATGTGTGTGAGAGGGAGGGGTGTTTGATGGGGCAGGCCTAGGGTGGGGTGATGGCGGTGGGGTACTGATAAGCCTTTCTGCAGCTGGTCAGTAGGTAATACCGTTTATACTTTTTGCAATGGAAATTACATTACACTTTAAATAACTGATCTTAGGTACACTTCTTATATATAACATGCAAGGAGAGACTGCTTATTGCAATAAAACACAGACAGGTGTGTTCACACAGACATGAACCGGTAGGTTCCCTAATTTTAGTGCACACTTGTATAAGTTATCAGACTGATCATAGCTGCACAAATTTTATTATCTATTCTTTTAAAAATGATGATTACAATGTATTAATGATTCCCGGTGTAAATTACTGTTGTAAATGTGTAAACATGCATATACGTACTTGGTATAACCTCTCTTTTATTCGGAATCTAGATATTATCCCATACGGACGTTTTCTAAAATGTAAGTTCCCCGACGGAATATACATAAGTGTACACCTATTTTGATTCCAGTTCTAGGGTAGATTATAGAAAATTCTTGTGATTACAATTAGTTCATAAGCTTAGGTAACTACGCAGTTTCGATAATTACTGGAAGTTTACCACCTCACAGCATTTGTTACTCATGCGTTTTCATTTTCGCTTTTTGCTCTCTGATTTGTTATACATTACATAATTATGGTAATCATTTTGGCATCCCGATATCATGGAATAAATGTTTACTTATTAATCTATCAAAGTGCCGAAACTTATTGTCTGTATGTGTTACTGTTATTGAGTGAAACTGTTAAATGTACCTTCGTACAGAATTTCCAGGACATAGAAACTGAAAATTGCTAAATAAATGGAAAACTAAATTTGATAAAAATTGCAAACAATTATTATTCATATACCAGTTTTAAAGTATCAGTGTGCAGATGTTCAATGGATATTAAGACCAAGTAAATTGGAAGATTCACAGACTAACAGTATTTCTTTACAGTATTTCCTTACAGACATATATAGAAAATTATTTTTACGGGTATGGAACGAATGGGGTAAAACATCTGCAAAGCATCTGAGTCAGCTGAGATTATCCTTTAAAAACATCATATGTACATTTAACAATTACTTATCATTAATTGCAACCAAAGCATTACATAAATGCCATATTTCCAGACAGCATGACATCACCTTTGGCCGGAGTTCCAAATATTTGACATCGAAACCTGTCAGTTAACGCAAAGGAAATAACCCTTGTGTTTTACAATGATGCCTTAATCATAGTCACAATGAAGCATAGGTTGCCATGTGTTTTGCAATATGACTGAGTCAGTGAAATACTAATATTTACCAAATAAAATTAATTGTAATGAAGCCTTTCTTTAAGCAGTGACTTAACGCCATACATAGCTAGACTTGCTTAGATCATTAAAAAAAAAGAAAACAAGGAAAAAAACCACACAATAAAAACCTAACAACTTCATGTAAGGCATCATAGATATTTCACAAACATGGTACAGGACCCTTCCCCTCATTAGCGTATTGCCTCACCACTTGCGAATTAAGCGTTCGCAGATGTAAGGCGTTAGCACTACAGCAAGGGCAGGGCGGAAGGGAAATAATATAGTTCTGTGACTGTGAGACACTCTGGGAAAATATGTGGAAAACCAAATATTTTGGACAATAGACCATTGTTTGGGTATTTTAATTGTAAATATGATTCAAATATCTTAGCCTAAATTTCTATATCCTTACATATAAGGACGAGTATTCAATTCACATTTGTTTGCATCTCTAACCAGGTGTAATCTTGAATAAAATATAATTGGAAAAGTGTAACAGGACGAGTATTCATTTTGTCTTTTTGTCTTCTACCCGTCCCTACTAGACTAACAACTAGTCTCTGAAATGAACATATTTTACAGAAAAAAAGTTCATAGTAAAAAGGAAAAATATAATAAAAAGGAGCCCTGAGACATTCTCCGGAAGCTGTGGAAATCTACACTTGCCACATTTTTCTAGACTTGCGTGGGCTTGGATATATTTGCTTCAGGGTCTATATGACAGACTACGTCCCTACATACGCTCAATCACATGTGTCTCCAGGTCACGGAGAATCATTGGTGCAGGGGCCCATATTGCAATTCTCGCGCGTTTGCATGTGTTGTTGACGCGGCATGGACGCCTTGTGACATCACTATTTGATTATGATTCACAAACACATGCTCATGATATGGTCGGAATCATGCCACGGATTAGCAGATATTTATCATGAAAACAGGTTTTAATGTAGGTGGCTTGAAACTTGCTTTTACAAAGGCCAATAGATTCGATCACAATACTTTTCGATTTACAACTTCTTTTCTCTTAACATGCTGACCTCAAAACTGATTTAAATTCTAATCGCTGATTAAAGAGTAAGACAATAAATAGTATGTCAAATTATCGTTACCATGACAACCCTGTGATATGTTACCTTATGTAAGAGAGCTATAAATACGATGCTGGGTGTGGCAATAGTGACAGTGTCTGTCGTAAATTTAAATATGTTGCTTCAACGCTATCACTAATCACTGGGTATCTATTCAATTATATGTGTGATGGAGAAGCACTTGCGTCGCTAGTTTTCTCAACAATCTGAATACATGGATGTAGCGTGAAACCGGCAGATACCTATAGAAGAAAGTGTTTGCCCTACCTGTAACAACGATGCCCCGTGTCTATAGAGGGGGTATAATATGGGGATGAATGACATGGACCTTTATCTTGGCCCGTTTATGATGATACATATTGCGATCTTTCACAATAATCTCTCAGGCTATCAGATTGAGGGTATTCTTTAATCATAACCGGTATTTCAATTATTGTATTTATACAGTTCGAACGTTCTCCATATATACGTCCGTCAGATACATCGCTCACTACCCCCTTTCTCTTTTGATCTTCTCAAGCGACTGTTACAAGTTCGAAGAATCCTGGTCAAAGTTGAAAAGTCTTAAGACTATTCCCTACTATTCTGTAACATACACATTGTACCTAAAATGGGTAGAGCTTCCGTTCGGGGGAATATCAGGAGGACAGCGATACATTTATCTCCAATGTTGTAGAAGGCACTCCACTTACTTAGGAAAACAATAACTTAATGAGATATTGCATTCATGTCGGAATCAATATTTTCGGCCCCAATCAGATGTGAACTTGAACATGCCAGGTCTGCGTCTATGTCAGACTTAAGGTCTGCGAGTTGTTTAGCAGCACTGGGGCGTAATAGTCATATAGGCCTGCTCCAAACAACGGAATATTTATCTTTTGAGAAGGACTTCTCCGACGGGTAAAGGTACAGCAATGCAACATCACATTTACTCCAATTATGTACCGCCGAACAATAGTTAGTAGTGAGCTGAATAAACTTAAGAAATTACGAGTTGGTACGTGTGGCATATTTGGCTGAGCTCTAAGAGAGATAAAGTGCTATTCTATTGGGACAGCTAGGGACACTTGAGAGGACAAAGAGGCACCTCATCGCCCTTTGTTCACCGCTGAACCTTTTAACCCCTCGAAACAACAAGATTTGCCAACACCGCAGACAAGACGTAACTGATACTGGTAGCAAGAGCGAGTGCAGCTTGATAAGGCGTGTTAGCTTGCGTAATACTGCTTTCTTTGTCAGGCTCTTTTGGTAATAAGAATAATGAGGTCACGTGGATGTGCAGCACCATAAATACTCGGATGATATACTCCAGTAGAACAACTATATAACTATACATAAATTATATGCATCGGGGACTGATTGTTTGC